TACTGGGAATTCTTGGTGGGGGGTGGTGCCCGGTTCTCCGAATCCTGACCTTATTGCAGACCAAAAAATGTGATTTTCCACACCCATTTTCAGAACAGATCTCTAAAATCCATACCCATTTTCGGACCTGGCCTAATTTAGCCTGTTCCAGGTTCTCAGATAGTTGGGGAGACTCCCCAGTTTTTTCCCGTTTTATTTTCGTGTTCGCGCTTTCTCAATTCAGCGGACCCAACTATCTCGGAGCCTGGAACAGGTTAGGTATAATTAGGCAGAAATTATGTCATCATTACCAAGTTAGAGCGGAAACAAAACAAAAAATTCTCCAAATACATTTCAAATTCGCACATTTCTATTTCGTTTTTATTCATTTGGAATTGAAACGATAAATACGTCCATTCATATATGCTCCCGTAGTTCCCTCGAAAAACAAAATGGGCAAAGTGTTTTCAGACCAAAAAGGCCCAAAACCCCTACCCTTCCCTTACATAAGGGAGTACCCCCCTGATCCTGACCTTTTCATCATTGTTAGAGACCGAGACAAGGTCTAAAAATGGGTGAAGAAAATAGCATTTTGATCTGGCTCATGATTCAGAGAACCGGGCGACATACCTCCACCAAGAATTCATGGGAGTATTTACAACTTTAACTCACGTGTCTTGCTATTTAGCGATCTTTTGATCTTATTTTTCCTTACCTAGAACCAATTAGCACCGTTTTTACCAAAGTAGTCCGTAGCCTGTATTTTATACCCAGTCCGCAGTCCGCAGTCCGCAGTCCGCGTTTTATACCTAGTCCGTGTTTTATACCCAGTCCGTATTTTCCAGTCCGCGTTTTATACCTAGTCCGTATTTTATACTCAGTCCGCAGTCCGTAGTCCGCAGTCCGTAGTCCGTGTTTTATACTGACCGGTGTATATCGTGTTTTTGGTTTGTTATCTACCATTGTTTTGTGTCAGGGCTGTCACTGCAGCCCGGGGTGAATCTGCTTTGGGGTTGCATCTACTTTATTATGCAGCGACAATAATGTATCTCAATTCATCTCTCAATCCTCTGATTTACTGTTGGCAGATGAGACACATTCGACAAGCTGTCGTGCACATACTGCGAAGCGTCTTTCCATGTCAGTAAAGTTAAAATAATACACTTGCGTCGACTTTCCTTGGCGTGTATTGTAGAGTATTCTTGTTATTCACATTACTATGCAAAACAGTTTTTCTGTTATCACATTTTGTGGTTTCTCTCTGTCTAAACATTCACGTTCTGCTTTTAAACACAGTAAATCCAAAAGATCTATTCAAGTCCTAAAATAGGGCTGTTTCAATGAATGGGTAGGAACACAGTCCTAGTTTCGGATCTAATTTGGCTCGCTTAATCAAGGCCAGTACATGTACAGGCCAATTATCTAGGCTGATTTAGACCCACAGGATGAAATGAGTCCGAGCGTGGGCTGGCTAGCTTAAATTGTGCTCACATTACTCCAGGAGAGGCTGAATCAGACTTAGTAAGGTCTTTTAGCAATGAAATGCTATAGGTTGTATTCGTCCATCTTGAGTACTTTAAAAGCTATTTAAAAAGCTGCAGTCCCTACATCTTTAAGGGCAGAGCACGGCTACTGATAATCAAATTGGCAAAGTAGGTCTGCATGCATGTTCTGTTTTCCGATGAAGGCAACCGCGATGTAATTGATAAAGTCGTCCTATCGACTGCGGGGAAAGATTTCGCCAGCTCGGGAAGCTGTAGGGGAGCTTTCAGCGACGATTTGGTTTGCAAAACCAACCAGTTTTATATACTATATGGGTTTTAACAAATTTGATTTTTTGAAGACCTTCTAACTTTTGTAGCTGTCAACAGTGATTGTTTATTCTGCAATTTTGATAACCATATGACTTAATGTTTCATTATCAACGTTTGGAGTTATGGTCTCTTTTTTCTTCTTGCATTCGACAGCATCATGGGGACGGTGGGAAGTTTGAGAGGAGGGGCATGTTATTAATCGGACTTATTGTTATTTACGTTGATCATTGCAAGGAAATTGATTTTATAAAATCAAACTTGTCAACTACTGTTCTTTAGCTTGCTCAGTTTCAATCAAGTTAAACTTGCTTTTCCTGTCGAAAATTAGGACTTCAATTGATAAAGGTACCCCTATTTTCTAAGCTGTGACCATATTAGCGTAACTTCCTATCAAACTGTGCCCGAGCCAATTTTGGAACCGGACGATATTTGCACCTGTTTCGGTTTTACAGACTCTCAGGTTTTCATTGGTTGGTCGGTGCTTTTTTGAAAGCATCTCCTTTGGTGTACTTTGACTCTAGAAAGATCTTCGAGATGAAGATTGCAGCTCGTGTTGCTCTACCGAATACTGCGCTCACCTTTGGAACGTGCGCAAAGATTTCATGCAAATTTTTACATAAACCAAGTGAACTTTTGCTTGAAATTAGAAAAAGTATGAAAAAGAAGTGTTCTGGAAAAAAAACATTGATCACAGGGGAGTCGAATAAAGCCCTGTTGAAACGATGGAGAGTCCTGGTACGTTTTCGAATCTTGCTGAGCGAGTTGCCCAATTACATAAAGTTTCAGTAGTGGCCTATCCAAATACTGCGACACCTTCTGGTAAATATAGCGGATCTCACAAATGTTAAAACTTGAAAAAGTGTGCAAAACATAAGACTTTCGGGTACTCAGGTCCATAAAATGTTGGAAGTTGAAGATTACTAAGATTAATATTCAACCTTGGTCGCTAGCTGCGTCCTCAAAGCATTCTTGACTTTCTCCGCCATCACGGCTGAAGATAATAACAGACATACACTCCGGAAAACTTCGCTTAACTCAGCGCTGACGGTTTCTTGGCTACTCGTTTTGATCTCAGATACCAGGAGCTTGTGACTCACAAGCGTTTTGTTTTTGTAGTGACCTCAGCTTGAAAGTAACGTGCATTTGTTTCCCTTTTCACAGTGAAACTTGTATATTAGCGGACTCCTGAATAAAGGTTCATTTTGCAGACTATATGGGTAAACATTTTACCAAACTGAGCCATTCGTCTGCTCAATAGTGGGTGTCCACTTAATGTGCAGCTGAATGTGTATGGGTCCGCTTAATACAGTTTTCACTCTAATTTATTTTCTTGACATTAGACACATTACACACATAACCCGATGCATTCAGTAAGACAGTTATTCTCTTAAATATAGGATTGCTTCGCTGATTTCAAACAACCACACAACAACATGCAAAGTGAAATTCATACCTTCAAGGAGCACAGAATACAATGCGGCAAGGCTGAGAAAATATTTTCTTGCAATAGCTGTACGTTTAATATCGGCATTTATACTACTACATGAGAAATTTCTGCAATTTGATTGGCTTAGAGCAGTGGTATAAATATCACTTGTGGTATTTATGCCAAATATCACTACAAATCATGCTATTACCTATACTAATTGTGACATAAAACATTTATAAACAAAGATGAAATACCAGGTGAACTTTCGCGCGAAAACATGCTATCTTCACAAGTGAAAATTATAAATAATAAATTGCGCCTTTCGCTGCCAAAAGAAAAAAAAAGCTACATTGAAATGGTTTGGTATTTCATCGGTGCTTATACATTAAAAAGAACACTACATGGCCGCTTGGAGATACGAAATAGTTTATTGTTCGTGTTGAAAACTATTTCAACACCCGAAGAGAAATTTCGCATTTCCCCGCGGCCATAAACAGTCAAGTTTCCTTTTTTAGCACATGATCGATGTGAAATAACGGTCCTGCATTACCATCTGCTTTATATTTACTTTAGACACTCGTGGTTTTCAATTCACAGCTTATTTCTCCTCTGAACTACACTGTAAAAAAAATAGCGCCCTTTGGGAAAGCTCTACTAGACACACAAAAAAAACAACTTTCCCAGGTGGTGCAGCTTGTTAAGCAGAATCATTAAATTCATGTAAGCCAGCTTTTAACAAGAGACATGTTCATTATTTATTCATAAACGAAACTGAAAAGAAACTGAAAGGATGGCTGGCTACCGCTTTCAATCACGAAGATCTTTTATGATCACCGGGCACGCCGCGCCTCCGAGCCTATTTATAATAGATTTTTACTGGGAAATTTGAAGGCGTGTTTGCTTTTCAGTTAGCATGATGATTTTACAAATAGGCTTATCGCGTTGCCTTAAAGATAATTGAACCATGATTGTTCTATATTTGATACATTTGTTAAATTTCGTATTCCTGTGGAGTCCGATAAGTTTTTTTCAGGTGTTCTTTTCGTATTCTCTAGCTTTGAGCACAAAAACCAATGATGAAAAATATTTAGTAAAATCATTTTTTATTTTCCTTTTTCCTTTACTGATTCTTTCTCTTCTATGCATTGCTTTTTTTTCTTCATATGTAACTTGTATAAATTAAATTGCCGTATTGACTTTGATGGGTCCAGCAGATATTACAAACAGCGAATCGTTCTGCCCTAGTTTCTAATCGACATTTTCCAAGTAAAATAACCTAACGTGTTTTATTTGTTTTGCATTTTCGATGCACCGTCATGAACCAGCTGCCTCTACTCTATGTTAATCATTTTGTCAAGAAGTTAAATATTGTAAGCACAGAAATTTTTCTTTATCCCCGGGTTTTTATAGTTTTTTTTTCCTTCTCTTGGAAGATGTTTATCGAACACTTGTAAGGATTATAGGGTGCCACTCTGATCCGTATTCAAGAAAATTATTGGACTCAGTTTCTACATTGTCTCTACGTGACGGGCGTACACAAGAAACACGGTACAGTGATTGAGGGGCTTAGTCTGTGAAACCGACTGAATGTATGGAGGATGTTTATAAAAGTTATAAAACGCACGAAGTTGAAGAGATGTATTCAACGCTGGTCGTCAACTGCGTCTTCAATGCTTTCTTGTCTTACACCACTATCATGCTGAACGTCATATCAATACAAGCGCTTAGAAAAACATCATCGCTGTCTAAACCATTAAAAACATTGCTTCTGAGTCTTGCTGTTTCTGATCTTGGAGTTGGCTTACTTGTCCAGCCTCTCTATATAGTGCGAATGCGTGTCCTCATGCCGGACATTCAACAGCACACCATAAACAACGGAACTTATGAGATAATTTACATCTTGCACTTCATCTTTGGGAATTTATTTTGTACTGCATCCTTCCTAGGTGTTGTCGCTTTAGCTGTCGACAGATTCTTAGCAATTCATCTCCATCTAAGATATCAGGATTTTGTGACTTGCAAACGTGTTGTCGCCATAGTAATCTCAGCTTGGGTGCTAAGTATATTTCTTTCTCTTTTTGCCTTGAACTCTTTTTTCATTGACATTCTTGTCACTATATATGCCGCGATTTGGACTGTTTCTCTCCTTTGTACAGCGCTACTTTACTGCAAGATATACACAGCCATACGGCGGCACAGGAATCAGATTCAAGTTCTGGAAACACAATTAGAAGCGCAGAACGGAGAAATATCTAACACTGCGAGGTTGCGAAAGACTGTACTCGGTACATTATACGTGTACGTTGTGTTTTTGAGTTGTTATTTGCCATACCTTTGTGTCAAAGCCGCTACTATTATCAGTGGTGAAACAGTCCTGCTAGCGCATCTTTTCTATTATGTCACTACTCTGTTATTTGTCAATTCATCTCTTAATCCACTGATTTACTGTTGGAAGATGAGAAACGTTCGGAAAGCTGTTATGGATATACTTCGAAATATCTTTCCAAGTTAGTGTAGGTGCACTATAAGAGGCCATATGCACGGTCAGCGTCTTACACAGAGAGAGTTGCTTGTAGGCAATACATTAGAAAATGATCGTTATATGTACGAAAGACAAGAGCCATAATGGCTCTTGATACTACGTAGGCACTTCCGCGCTGTTTTAGTATCCCAGCATAAAGCTAATCATAATCTTAAAGCCGGAAGATCAAAGCTTACATTAATTTCTTTCCTCGAATTCCCACACTTCAATTTTGTAGCTTTTATTAGTATTTTTTAAATAGTTTTCATAGAATTTTTCTAATTAACGTTACGGATTACAGTTAAACGCCTTGTTTAGCTGGAAGATCAAAGCTCACATTAATTTCTTCACTCGAACTCCCACACAGCAATTTTGTAGCTTTAAGTATTTTTTAAATAGTTGTCATAGAATTTTTCTAACTAACGTTTTTCCGTGTATAAAATAAATAATTAAGGGAGGATGACAGTTAAACGCTTTGTTTTGTATTATACTTGAGAACTTTTCGTTGAAAATTTTGTCAAAACGTCATTCCATTTTAAAAAAAATCACTCATCCTGAAGTTCTTGGAACAATGAGTTTTTGAGAATTTTTTGGTGCATGATTATTAGAATATTTCTAATCAATAAAAGTTTGTTAAAAGTTATGGAATATGGAAAAAATATTCGATTTAATGTTAGTTAAAAATTAAAATTTGAAGTGCATAATTAATAGACAAAAGACCAAACAGTCTGCCACCACAACAAGGTGGCCCTGAGCCAATTAGCGGACTAACGTGTATACCCTCTTCTATCCTTCTTTCTTTCATTCTCAATTCAACCCCAATTCCCCCAAAATTCAGCTGTAGTCTCCCTTTAAATAAAGCTTTCTTGCAGTGGTGTCACGCCTTATTAAAATCGATTGACCATGTCAGAGGCTAGGCAGCAACTCATAACATACAGTGGGACCTCTTCTCAACGGCCACCTTAAGTACAGAAGAAAGTGGCCGTTGCAGAGAGGTGGCCATTGTAGAGAGGTGGCCATTGTAAAGAGGTGGCCGTTCTGGAGAGATGGCCTTTGTAAAGAGATGGCCGTTGTGGAGAGATGGCCGTTGTAGAGAGATGGCCGTTGTGGAGGGATGGCTGTTGTAGAGAGACGGCCGATGTAGAGAGGTGGCCGTTGTAGAGAGACGGCCGATGTAGAGAGGTGGCCGTTGTAGAGAGATGGCACGGTTGTAGAGAGACGGCCGTTGTGGAGGGATGGCTGTTGTAGAGAGATGGCCGTTGTGGAGAGACGGCCGATGTAGAGAGGTGGCCGTTGTAGAGAGATGGCCGATGTAGAGAAGTGGCCGTTGTAGAGAGACGGCCGATGTAGAGAGGTGGCCGTTGTAGAGAGATGGCACGGTTGTAGAGAGACGGCCGTTGTGGAGGGATGGCTGTTGTAGAGAGATGGCCCTTGTAGAGAGATGGCACGGTTGTAGAGAGATGACCGTTGTGGAGGGATGGCTGTTGTAGAGAGATGGCCGTTGTGGAGAGATGGCCCTTGTAGAGAGATGGCACGGTTGTAGAGAGATGGCCGTTGTGGAGGGATGGCTGTTGTAGAGAGATGGCCGTTGTGGAGAGATGTCCCTTGTAGAGAGATGGCACGGTTGTAGAGAGATGACCGTTAGTGGAGGTTCGACGCTAATAGCCATTTGCACCATGACGTCGTTTTACTACAGAGACCAGAATTCATTTCGTTTTTTCCTTCATATTTAAATTTGGTAATCCCAGTGATGTTTAAATAACAAAAGCCCTAATTTGCACAAGAAAGCGAAAACCCGCTGGAGTCTGACGCCATTGTGCAAATAACCTATTATAACCCTGCTGACAACTTCAAGAGGAAGGAACAAGCTCAAGTGGCGTCTTTCTAAATCCACTTGATATGGACCAATATATTGTGATAAAGTTCAACACGTATCACCAAAAGGGTGAAAATAAGAAGCAAAGGCATTAGGGAAGGCAGTGGGTAATGCCCGAATGAAATATTAAAATCGGTAATGTGTGCCGTCACTACTTGACAGATATATTGGTTATTAAAAATTAAGAATTGGGAAACCTTAATTTTTCCTTCAGTAAAATAATAAGTCCTCATAAATATTTGTCAGACACATCAATAACGTTCATTCAAAACAACGATTTTCCTGATCTCTCTTAACGAAAAAATCCGACGTCAAAAGGGAAACTGCCGAAAATTTAAATGTTGCCTGATAAAACAAGGACATGAAATTAGCATAAGCTAGACTTATTTCTAGTGACCTCAAGAGATGGCAATATTAACACCGTGCAAACAGTAATCTGCTTTTTTATTCAGTGGCTTTCGTGCTTTTACAACAAGGTAAAAGATATTATTATAAATGCAAATGTATCGTCAGTCTTCGAGTGTTATCGAAAGTAACCGCATCACGGTTATTTGAAGCTCAAACAGAACTAGCTTGGAAATTATCAAGGTGTTTAATGTTAAAATCGTTCCCTTCTCCTTGTTAGACGTTTTAAACGACTATGATAGTTAGAATAAACTTACACAACTTAACACTTTATAACATCACTTGCTACTCTAACCGGCTTGGAAAGCAAAATTTCACCTCATGTTAAACACTTTTCACAAGGTAAGGCATATTGATGGCGCAGTTTTAATACCAGAGGCTCAGGGAAAAGACATGCACCCCTCAAGCTACAAATTAAATATATTTTTTTGACGTCGGTGCAAGGACAACATGCCATAGAGGGTCCTGCTTGGAAAATGCTTGAAGCTTAAATGTCTTGACCGGTTGGAAATTTTAAACAGCAAATGATAAGAATGAGGGTGAACGAGAAAAAATTGGCCAGCGCAAGTTGCTAGAATTCTCATGATTGAAAGATGCTTAAAAGAGATTGATATTTATGGAATTTTAAAATTACGTGTTCATGCCGGGCATCAGCGCGAAAAAGGGCCGTTTTGGTTGCCTCATCCAGGCCGCTGGATTAAATACAAATCAGGTCAAAAGATCCTCCCTATTTTAAAAATGGCGGCGAGGCGCCTTTTTGACTGTTAGCCGAACATCCTTCCTATCTCTTTGCCATCAAAACGCGGGATTTGTGGTCAGGGGTATTTGTCGGGGTTTCCGTGTTTACGGAAAAATGCCATTTTTGCGAAGTGTAACCGTCTAAATGAGATGTTCATGACAGAATAATACCGTCGACGCATGTTTCCACCTTTTGTTAAGACTTTGCTTTCTATAAAGAAGATGCTTTTTAAATGTATTGCTTTTAACTGCTTATGGCACTAATAGAAAAAAAATTCAATTTTAGACAGAGACTACCCTGGGTGCCAGAGGTGTTTTCGCTGTTGTTTGCGGCGAAAATTGAGCAGCAGGCAAAAAAAACCCTCTGGCACCCAGGGTAGACAGCGACGATCTCCTGTCTCAAGTAAGGCAAGCGACGCATTTTTCATTTTTCTTCTAATATATAACAAAATTGTACTCTCAAAACCTTTTCTGTATGAAAAATTTATTACTTTTTCAAACTAACAGCGATAAATCGAGACGGCCAAGACAAAATCATCTCTTGTTTCAACGATTTTGAACTGGTTGCAAAGGATGAAGCAATCTCAAAAGGTATCATCTACAAACAAAATTTCTAATCAGCTTCCTGAACATAACTCTATCCGGCTTCGTGTCCAGATGTCCCATTGTGTTATTTCCTACCCTTCACAATATGCTTTTCGTGGTGCTTTTAAAGTAAAGCCAAGAGGCCTAAATGTATTCATTATAAACTCAAGCTTTTTCTCTTACGCCTCTTTCTTTGGTGTCGTTGGTTTGACCGTTGACAGATTCTTGGCCATTCATCTTCATCTCAGATACCAGGAACTTGTGACTCATAAGCGTGTTGTTGCTGCGGTGATCTCAGCTTGGGTGTTTAGCGCATTTCTGGCCATTCCTGCAGAGAAATGGATTCCAGAGGAAGCTTCATCTTGATATGTAGTCATTGAAGCTGTTTTTATCATAACATCAGGTGTGCTCTATTGCAAGATATACGCAACCGTCCGACGCCTTAAAAATCAGATCCACGCCCTAGAAGCTGAACAACCTGCACAGAATGGAGAAATCGCAAATGCTGCAAGGCTAAGGAAAACGTCTGTAGCTACATTCTACGTATATGCCGCGTTTCTGGCTTGTTACTTGCCATTCTCTTGCGTGTACCCTTTGTATTATGTGAACAGTGGTAAAATGCTAAAGCTTTTGTTAAGTTATACGTTGACATTGGTGTATCTCAATTCCTCTCTAAATCCTCTAATTTACTGCTGGAAGATGAAACATATTCGGCCAGCTGTCTTGGAAACGCTTCGAAATACCTTCTCAAGTAGTCAGTAGAGAGAAGTGCTTAGAATCAGCAAACGTGAATAATAATAATAACGTGCCATGAGTCGAAAATATGCATTGTACGTACCAGAAAAGATCAGAAACACCGCCCAATCCTTGGGGTGAGGTACGGGATTGCAGCCAGATCTTATAAGAAGCTTTAAGCTTTTAACAACTACAACTTTATTAACAGCAATGAAGTAACATAAAATAAGCACACTACCTACATTTAGCAAAAGCTACTTGAGACAGGCAGTGTGGGGACGCTACATACATGAACTGATAAGAACCGTTTCAGCTCAATTGTGAGTGGATATAGTGAATGGGTGTTTTGGTCAGTCAAATAACGACTTTCAACGCGGGACTTCTTGACGAAAACCTTGGCGACAATCTCGGCAGGAAATCCCTGCGCAATATTGACAGAAATCGATTTTGATGAAAATCCTGCCTGGAAATCCAAGCAGAAGTCTTGATGAAAAATTCTGGCGGGGACCTTGGCGAGAATCTTGGTGGGAAATTCCTGCGGAAGTCTCGACGGACCTTGCCCAGAATCTTGGCGGGAAAACCCAGCAGGAATCTTGACGAAAATCCTGGCGGGCATCAGTTAAGTGAAAATCTTGATGGGAAATCCCTCCAGGAATCTTGACGGAAATCCTGGCGCGAAATCACTGCGGGAATCTTAACGGAAATCCTGGCAGGGGGTTTAGTGAGAACTTTAGCGGGAAATTCTGGCCAGAGTCTTGACGTAAATCCTGGTCGGTATCTTGTTGAAAATCCCGACCACACCGATACTTTCAAATGCTACTAACAGCGAATTTTCCTTTGCCGATTGCCACAAGCAACCTTTTTCCTTGTCCGTATTCACCAACATTGAGATTTCTCTACAATTTATGGCCATTGTTCGTTCCCACCTTGATTAATCCTACAAGTAATGATCCCGGTAAGAAGGGAAGCAATTTCTTTTGTTGTAGCGCAATACGCTTTCCTCACATAGAAATGTTTTCATTTTTACGAAGAGAATACATTAACCTACAAAAAGGCAGTTAATGAAAGAAAATGTATTTAAACTCCAGTTTTAAAGGGTGTTTTTTCGTGTTAAAAGATTTCAACCAATCAAAAGAGTTGCAAACAACAGCCACGAACTGTTTACAATTTTACATGATCCGCACATAGGATTTCTGCGTTACTTAGACTCCGACGAGATTTTGTCATGAGGAAGTTGGATAGAAAAAAAGGGATTCATGTCAGTACAGTGCTGCTTTGCGAAGATTTCGTTAAATTTGATGCTTAAACCAATCAGAACCTTAGTGGAGACAATCGTAGCAAAGTTAGCACCTTTTTGCAGTCTGAGGTACTCACGGCGTTTTGTTCCTTTCCTTCTTATCTGAACAATTACTTAATTTGGAGCCCGAGGTCTGCCTCTATGATACCACCTTATATTAAGAGTCCAATGAAACGCTGCAAGGGTTGTCCTGCCCGATCTAAGCTAAAACAACGCCCTCAACAATTAGATCTACTCTTGTGCCGTAGAGAAGTGAGAAACCTTGCAATATCTTACTCACTTAAGCGTGGTTACTGTAATTGCTCGCTTGACTTCAATTTTTAATTCTGCTCAGAAAAGACAACATGGAAAGGAGACTGAATTCCTTTTCAAGAAACACAGAGAAAAAAAATCAGTAGAAAAAGAATTCCTTATCTCTGAAAACAAACAGAAAATATACAAAATATACAGTTACAAATTTATTGGCGTCAAGACTTAGTAAAGAGGGAAAGGCTTTGCTTTCGGTTGATCGTTCTAACCTTCTTGGGTATGCTGTTTAGTTTCGGAAAGGAGACTTCTGTGAGCTCTACATGCAAAATCACGTACTGAGATTTGTCATACAATGACAGGTACTAAGCAGTTTTATAAAAAACTGAATCATTGGATAATGCAATTCTAGAGCTCTGATTGGCTTAGCCACCATGGTATATGAGCCATTATACCATGCTCTCCAAATATGGTAACTGTACCAGTCTTCTCAAAATTAAAAACAAGCTAAAATCGGTGGTTTTTACAAATAAAGTCGCAAAGAACTCTCGCGTATAGGCTTACTGGTTCAGCCACTGAACACCGCCCTTCTAGTCATAAAGATTCCGCGGCAATACATTGTGAGCAGTACTTTCAATGTTGTAGTGTTGTCGCGTTAACTGTTAACATTGAGAGAGATTCTTAGTCATTCATCTTTATCTCAGATACCAGGAACTTGTAACTCACAAACGCGTTGTTGTTGCACTGATCTCTACTAGCCCCAAATGACATCACCCTGATTACAGCGCAGGTTCTTAACATTTTGTTCATGACCCTTTTGTGCTTTTCGTTTCATAATCACCGCACTGCTTTACTGCCAGATGTACGCAGCCGTACTACAAGGCTCACAAAAAGTGTCGTCGTTACATTTTACGTGTATTCAGTATTTTTGACTTGTTATCTCCCACGCCTTTGCACCCATGTTTCGTCGTTAAATTTTACGTGTATGCAGTATTTTTGACTTGTCATCTCCCATGCCTTTGAACCCATGTTGCTTTTACGGTGTTTTGGTGTATCTACCTAATTGTTACGTTTATGGTATTACTCCCTGATCTGAAATTCAAAGTGATGATTCGCGATAAAAACTAACCCAAGGTTACATTTTTACTTATCTCACACCATGGAAGTTTTAACCCAGGAGTCATTTCATATTTAGGAGGAGCATGGTGGTCCGCGTTAGCGGAAAACACTGTAAAACAGACTAGGGCTAGTAATTTGCTGCTTTAGTTTACAAGCATTGCAAATTACATAAATGCTAACAGTATTCGTTAGCAGATAGATCAGTTTAAAATGGAACAAAATTACATAAGCCAGCTTACAACGCAAAATTTGCAAGAAAAACATTTAATAGAAAAATGAATTATATTAAAAGTGTTTAAAATTCTGATTTAGGATCTAATAGCGAAAATTAACTGTGTCAATAGTACTACTGAAAATGAATGACGAACTTTATCGCATACCGTTGAATATAAGTATCTGTTTAGTACGTATCTTTAAAAACTGTCTGCCAAACAGACAGTAATTGCACTAAAATGATTTCACTATTAAAATTAAAGTGTAGTTTTATCTATGTACGATTCATTATCTGATTAATATCTCTTGTAACAAACTCTACTTCACTCTATTTTAAATGTTCCCAAAGGGATGAGTACTTGAGATAACGCTGACAGCGTACATGGAGGTAACCAGGGAGGTGAAGACATAGGAAAGGAGGGAAGTTATCGTGGTAACGCCCTATTTAAGAATAGCCCAAGAAAATCCCTGCCATCTTCCCAAATAGATGCTAATCAATTAAGCACGCTATGCGAGGGGCAAACTTCCATAATAATACGCCTACCCTCTTCTTGGAAAAAGCAACAATTAAGTTTGCTTTGCAAAGTAAAGGGGGCGGGGTGCCTCTATTTAAGGGTAACACTACCCTTTTGTCGGACGTACTGGTAATCAACTAAGCTTATATGCAATGGAAGAGGGGGAACTTTCCTTGGTAACACGGCAATTCAAAAGTAACCACTACCCTCCCATCGGGCAAAGTACTAATTACCTAAGCTTGCCACGCAATAATCGAAGTTTTATGCTTCAAAAGAAAGTCGTGAAAAGAGGGGGAATTTCCTTGGTAAGGCAGCTACTCAAGAGTAACAACTACCCTTTCTCGGACAAAGTACTTATTAACTAAGTTTGCCTCGCTTCAAAAAGGTTAATGCAAGCAATCTTAGGTGCACATAGGTATGAAGGGCTCTGTTTCGACAGAGACGGTGAGGCTGTGTCAGCGAGGAAAGGAAACACAAATATTAGACTTTACCAACTGAGTTGAAAGACTGACAAGCAGATGTTTTGAGCAATAGTCCTTCACTAGAGCGAAGGTACAGGAACGTGGGGACAGGGGGAAGATTATAAGTTGAAAGCTAACTCCCATATATAAGATTTAACTTGAATTTGTCTGAAGATTAGCTTTAACAGGTAGGGTACAGCTCTGTTCAACATTGGGATCATCCCTTACCACCTTCCCCGACAAAGTGTTAATCAGTGAAGTGTTGTGTAATTTAAGTTCTATATCTCAGAAATATAAAAGAAAGCAGTCAGTCATTTTCAAAGAGACAATCACAAAACTGAACCCTTTGGGAACTCAGTCATTTGTGATTTTACGATACTAAAAAACGCTGGTAGCATTTACGCTATCCAATTTCTGGAGATGTGGCTGATTTTTTTTTCACTTCAAAAATGGTAAAATCTGCTCGTCGAAGAATTCGTCGGAAAATTGCAAGTGATCGCCATCTGCAGTGAGAAAATGCAGCTTCTTGTCCTTGTCCATTTGCTGCAGCCCCAACAAGTCCTAACAGAAGGGCAATTGATATTTCAAAAAAATCGTCTAGAGTAACTGGCTTTACAGTTGCAAGCAAAAAGCGAAAGTAACTACCTTCCAAACAAAATACGGACCAACCCAAACTCAAGGAAATACACGCCTCAAAAAATATGTAGCGCCGCAACACAGGGTAAGGCCCTGGACATATTATAGCGATTGAAGAGGTCGGACGTGCCTCGAACAGCACCGCAAGTTTTCCTCTAATTTGTTAACTCCGAGTGTAAGTTAACAACTTTACCTACTGCAATATTGTATTATTTAGTTAATATTAATTATTTCACTGTAATGCTCTAGTACGACTGACTGTTCCGCCTGGATTTGCTAATGCTACCTGCGGACTGGTCTCGTGTGTTGTATTTGCAAATATTTTTCTAATAAATTTGAGTTGAGTTGTTTGAGTTAGCCCATGAGTAAGTCTTGTATTATTGGAAAAAAGTATGTAAGGCGTACACGACGAATCATATTCTGGAGTGCTTGTACCTCTGTACCCCTCACCCCTGATCTTGAATGAGTACCTTTTTACAATCACTGAGTCTGTCTTGCTATCTGTAGCTCTGCTAGCTAAATGTAAAAGTGTTAACGAGTTCATTAAGGAGCTTAAAGACTTTAAAGCATATTACAATCTGCTTGTATGATAGGGCATTTTAAGACTAGTCTATCAAAACAATCTGTTACACAAACATATACTTTACACCACATAATCGACAGAGAAAATTTACTCGTATGAACACCCAATGCTATAAACGCAACGACAAGTTAACCTCCAAGCCTGTTCTTATGAGGAATGACATTAAGGAAGGTTGTTACACTACTATAAATAGTACCTAGTAAACTATATATAGCAGAATATCAGTAGATACCAACTGCCTGAGTAAAACGTTTAGGTATATACATAAGGGACATTTCAAGTATGGACTGTCACAGAATTAGATGTTAGAGTAGTATAAATACTGTAATGAAAACTTGCCTCTTTGTACAGCTGACTTTCTTGTAAGGTGTATTTATCTACTGCTTGCCCTGGCTTGTAGAAACCAAACCACTGCAATAAAAGAAAGAGAATATGGATTAGAATTAACAGATCTCGATCTTATGTACTGAAACACTAAAATTATTCATTGTTTCACTCTTTACACATTAGATATAATTTATAATAACAAAAAGAGTGTCTGAAAACAGCGAGTATTGCTATAGATTATGTTGCAATATCATGCATACTGTATTACAGAATTCAACACTAAACTTTTTCATACTTCCGTTTCCTTTGGATCAACCATAGTGTCCTTGCCAAACATCACCATCACAAAGTTCTTTAGTTTCATCAGGTTTGTCTTGTACTCGGGAACCATCTGAAGAAAAAATGATACAATTCAGCTTTTAAAAAAAATTAATTCATGATTAAAAATTTGTATACAGTCTAGGTTGCTAGTCAAGAATTATTTTCAGGTAACACTTGTTGTACACGTATTCTGACTTTACTTGTAGAGCTGCATATACAATCCATAATGCTTATAAAATTATTAAGTTAAATGAAATTTGATGCAGTTAACAACAAGGATAGCCTGAGAAAACAACCGACATTTGGCGAGGCTACCACTGGTTTCCACACCAAATGACGTCTGAGAAACAAGCGCAGAAATTCCATACTGATGACATGTCACTACCCAGATCTGGGTAGTGATGCGTTGTCAGTATGGAATTTCTTAGCTCGTTTCTCAAACGTCATTTAGCGGGGAAACCAGTGGTAGTATCGCCAAATGTCGGCTGTTTTCTCAGGCTTCAACGAGGAGTGCCATGCATACCTTGTCGGTATAGTGGCTCAAGCGCGGTCAGCACTGCTTGCATCAGTTCTATGTGTTAGTACAGCATTTTCCTGGGCCAGGTTGTTCAAAGCTGGGTTAAGATAACCCAGGGTTAGAGTGAAATTTGAAATCAGATTTGAATGCTTAAAAAGTAAATCCAGTTTAATTATTTCTGTCAACAAGTTGATGATTGGATGCTTTTAGAAATAACAGAAAAAATTGTCAGAGAAAATGCCTTTGAACAAAAGAAAAAGAAACCTCGGTTAAGCGGTAATTAGCAGGTGGCCACTCACTTTTTTAAACCTTTGGATTGTGCATGTACCCCCACCCCTCTCCCCTTTTCTTTTGCACTGATAATCAGTGTGAAAGCAGCCTGCTTCCATTGGTGTGGGAACTCAAGGCTGGGAGGTACATGTAGGTGCCAGTTTTCCAGCCATGGGGCATATCTGTTTAGGGGCTGGCTTTGCCAAAAGTTGAAGCCCCTGTACATCCCGGGTGCTCAGCTCCACTAAGTGACAAAGTTGTTGACAATGTTACTGAAAAAAATCAGTTCAGTACTTGGAAATCTCAAGGGGTAGAATAAAGCTTGAACCATCCTTGATTCAATTTTTTTTTCACAAGCATTGGCATCCCCAAACCTTTCACATGGCACTCCCCCCCTCCCCCCTCAGGGGGAGTTTCCACTCATAGAAACCTCTTTCTTTGCTTGGTTGCATGAACTGTATTGCACATGCTTACACTACTAAGCAACAATATTGATTAGTTTGGAATTTTATGGTTAGCTCGCGTGTCCTGATCTTTGCTGTAATAGGACAATAACAGAGTAAACATTCTAGAATTATTTCAAGTGTTCAAGGTTGTTAATAATTATTATTGTTTGACTGTAAGAAAGTCCATTTAAATTTATAATCCATTGATCTAAGTAACTTTTTTCACCTTCTTCTCCTGATTTATTTCTGCCAAGAAGACGCTCTTTTCTCTGTACTCTTCCTCATTCAGTGGATCATGCCAATATTCTGCTTGGACAAGACTAAAATTGAACACATGACATTTCATTACAGTAATTGTTAGATTGGGAAACCTTAATCTTGAATATAAATCCAAAGACTGTGGTTCTGTTAAGGTGACTCGACTGGATTTTTTGAGGGGGATACCTCCCAAGTTTGAGCATTAACCACGTTGCCATAATTAAAGATATGGCAAAAAGGTTACCACAACTGTTTTGTATAAAGATGAAAATTTCTTATGATCTGGGTTTTATTGCAATCGGAGTCGCCATGGCAACGTAACGATGCCATTACGTTTTTTATTTATCTTTGTTTTTCTCTGTACCAGGAGATTTTTTAAGAAATCGCTTAAGGGAGTTTGTACCTGCCATAATTGCCTCAATTATGGAAAAGTTTGAATAAATTCTATGAGAGCGTTTTCGAAATATTTTGAAACAAAGTTTTAAGCATCATAAATCACAATCCCGGGATTAATTGCCAATGAATATACCCTGTAAGATTCAAGAACATTGAAAACAGAGAAGGCTATTAAAAAGGGCCTCAAATATAACCAATTTTTCCCCAGATTTTGTGTTTACAAGTGAGCGTCCTCATTATTCACTAGCATTGTTTTCAAAATTCATATGAACGTGCAAATTTAGCAAAAAGAAATAAATTTGCATCAAAAAGAACTCTCGATTACTTTTGGAAGAAATATCCGGAATATGCTAATAACTGGCATGTGTCACAGATAGCAGTAAGAGCCGAGACGGTGAACGTCAGAGCTCATCGTGTAGGATGCAATACTTAATTATCTTACTCGGGTTAACATCACAGAAACTCTTACAAAGAGTTGCTGTGATGTTATAATATGTTACTAATTTCTTTACCCAGTTATTAGCATATTCCGGAGATTTAAGCGAGGGTCCTTTTTGATGCAAATTCTATCTTTTTGCTAAATGTGCACGTGCATATGAAACTTGAAAATAATGCCAGTGAATAATAAGGACGCTCACTTGTAAACACAAAATCTGAGGAAAAATTGGTTACATTTGAGGCCCTATTTAAAAGTCTTCTCTGTTTTCAATGTTCTTGAAACTTGCAGGAAAATATTTATTGACAATTGATCTCGAGATTTTCAAGTTTATAAAAAAATTTATCGAGCGGTTTTTTGAAAAATGCGAAATTTGTAGGCGTGGACCAAATTCCGTGCAAAAACTGCAACAAAAGCAGCTGAATGCAAGTTAATAAAATTCTTCTTACTCGTGATCGCCCAGAGCAATTCTCCTCTTTTTTTGTACGCAGTTTTCAATAGAATCAAACCACCATTAGATGAAGCCGCGTTTCCAAAGCTTATCATTTTCTTAAAAAAATAGCTAATTATGTGGATAGCATGCAATTTCACTGTTTTTATGATGCTTAAAACTTCGTTTCAAAATATTTCGAAAACGCTCTCATAGAATTTGTTTAAACTTTTCCATAATTGAGGCAATTATGGCAGGTACAAACTCCCTTAAGCGATTTCTTAAAAAAACTCCTGGTACAGAGAAAAACAAAGATAAATAAAAAATGTAATGGCGTCGTTACGTTGCCATGGCGACTCCAATTGCAATAAAACCTAGATCATAAGAAATTTTCATCTTTATATAATACAGTTGTGGTAACCTTTATCCCATATCTGTGGTAACCTTTATCCCGTAGTTAATGCTCAAACTTGGGAGGTATCCCCCCCAAAAAATCCATTCAAGCCACCTTAACTGAGGATACTCTCACAGCAAAGAGAATCTATCAATCCACGAAAAACTTCATAATCACGTAACCGTGCACCGACCACCCTCCTGGCCATCTGCACCAAATGGAAACCAATGTTCAATCCTCACACTTTCTAGCTAGTTTGGGAGCCTGCAACCTGATATTGCACATCCATGTTGTGATCAACTGACAGCTGTCAAAACAGGGTATCTGCCTTCTAGTATCACCTGACCATATCGTGGGTTCAGGTATAGACCCATCGAGGTCAGGGATATGGTTGTGTGTTAATAATTATTGCATATTGTAACTTAATTATTCAAATGGTTATTATGGCTACACAACAAACAAACCAAATTTAATCCCCCATGCCTTTAATAATCAAATCTTATCAACCTTTTTGCACCTAGATGTAATATTGTGTACCCTTTATTGAAAGTACACTAAAGGTATCTGTTTTTCAGCTTTTGCACTGATTTGACTGAGAAATCTGTATTTAGATCCCTAAAGGAGTATACCAGTGTTCTCTTTTAATAGATCATTTTACAGCTACAGGTGGAAATGAGGCTGAGGTTAACCTTGTTTTGTTCTTTATTATGTAAACCATGTTGTTCTTATGCTAACTGGTATTTTATTAAGCATACATGTAATTTCTATAAGAAAAGGAAAGTGGTTTGTATCAAAACAAGGTCAACCTCAGCCTCACATTCACTCAATGGCTGGAATACTAAGCTCACAACTGTAAAATGGTCTATTGCTCAACTACGATAGTGTCTAAAAGCAAACAATGGCAGTAGCAATGGCTTTAAGATTTATATCTCTTTCAGAACATGCTATGCAGCCTAACTTTAACCAACAACTAGACATCTTAAATACAGTGTCAAAACTTGGCTGCACGATTATTTTAACCAAGTTCCTGGTATCCACAGATTAGATGTAGTGTTATTATAGTTGCAGAATCAACTGGACAGATAATGGAACGATTTTGTTAATAGGCCATTTGCATGATGGCATCATTTTACTGCTATTACCAGGATCTTTCAGGGTTTTGCTTTCTTGTGCAAATTAGGACTTTTGTCATTTAAACCTCACTGGGATTACCAAATTTTAAATATGAAAAGAAAAATGAAAAGAATTCTGCTCGTAGTGGTAAAATGACGCCATCGTGCAAATAGCCTATTAAGAAAAATATTAGAGGTTAGTAGTAGTACAGTTTATTACCTCAGGTGTTACAAACATTACTAACTTACATTAGATACTTACTTGTCTTGAATAAAGCTGGAAAAAGGGAAAGAAAAGCAATAGTTTATGTCAGTCACAGGCCCAAAGTACATGTAAGGTCATTTTACATTTTTTGTCTCAAAATCAACAAAAAATTGCCATTATATATTCTCAGAAACAACTTGCCTCGGATGCATAAAAACTTTATCGTTTACAGTCAATTGTAGCCTGGTTGAATTCAAGGCTATTATAAACAGCTCAAACTTATCTAATACCTTTTACTGCATTATTTATCATTATTATTAATACATTAGGAGTACTAAAATCGCAGAAAAAATTAGTGGATTATGCCAACACTACCAACGTTGAATTTATTGTTTACCCGAAGATTTTATTCCATGGTTGATTAATTTGCAGCTATTTGCAAATATTGAAGTTGATCAAGTGCAAGTGACTGCCAGGGGAGTGTGCAGATTGGTTCTTTGACAATATTATGACATGATCATAATTATTGCTTGCTTAGACAATACAGCACGTCCCGGTAGAAAAACATAAAATAAATGAGCATGCGCTGAAGCGTGAACCTGTCCCTTTAAGTTCAATAAAATTTATGACATTGAAAACCTGAGAGGAGACACCCTGAATCTAGTGGACATTATAGCCTTTAAAAGTTCTGAACCTTTCTTTCTTTTCAAATTTTCACCCTATACCCACTACAGTAGTACAGACAACAGTTCCACAGTTTATCAGTACCTGTATCTGACAACATAATTACTTTATTTGTTTCACTAAGTTTCACTACTTGCCAAAGGTAATTAACCCTGCGAGCAGAAGTTTCTCTCTTGTATGCATTGGCTTTTAGCATTTTATGAAGTCGTTCGCCTGGCTTCTCTGTCACATAGTTGGTTTGTTTACACCCCGTCTGGGGCGTATAAAACAAACCAACTACACGTCAATCAAGCCATGCAAACGACTTTGTTAACAGCTAAAAGCCATGCAAGTGAGAAACCCTCCTCACAGGGTTAAGGTAATTGCATGGGCAGCACTAAAACACGGAATCCGGAATCCGGAAACGGAAACGGAATCACGGAAACGGAAACGGAAACAGAATACGGAATCAAATATCGATGATAGAAAATTAAAGAATTTCACAATACACAATTTAGTACAATCCAAAGAGAATTTGTCTTAGTTTTCTTGGCAGTTCCCTTAAATATATTCTTGTTATTGTGTCTTGATAAGGTTTGCCGTAGTGTGGGTTACTGCACTGCAAGGCCGATGAAAGTAATTTTACGAGTAATTTTTATTCACGAGTTCATGGGTTGAATAATACAGTTAAATATTACTTTTGTAGCTAATTGTCAAGAATAGTCGAAGTTAGCCTCAGACCACACCACGTGATTGTCCCCAAACTGAATACTCCACACATGACCGACCGGTGACGTGACCACAGTTCCGGTGTTTTAGCAATAAGTTCAACTTTTTCGCCAAGCTGAATACTGATGGAATACTGGTGTACCGGTAATTAAGTTTACGTGGACGTCCGTATTTTTGTTGAAGAGGCTTATTAAACATGGCGCATTATTTTGATGTAATCGGTTGCGGAATCAAGCAAATGCATGCACAATTCTCTCTTCTCTGTGGACTCCACAATGCCATGGTTCTCTTGAGTAAGTTGTCTTGATAAATAAAACTGAACACTGTTGAAGACAACCCAGAAAAGACACTGAGAAAAACTTGACGGCGACGCCTTTCAGTTATGTAAACGACGCCTCAGACGATTCAAACGAAGTCTGTCTCCATATAACTTACCTTTTTGTTAAGGCACTAGTTTTTGTCAGTCACGTTTTTCTCCTCACTTTGCTGTCCCATGAGAATTTGCATTCATTGCCGACAGTGGTATCAAGCGTCTTTTCACCGGAATCGACTCCTCTAGTGACACAGCAGTCTCCTCTCCTGTACTCAGCTAATTTATTCATTTGTGCCTTTTTTTTTATCTGTTTATTTATTTCATTGTCATTGCTACTATTATTTTTTTCAAATCGATCGCTTGGAACCTTCTTTCACAGATTCCGTATTCCGTTTCCGTTTCCATGATTCCGTTTCCGTTTCCGGATTCCGGATTCCGGATTCCGTCTTTTAGTGCTGCCGTAATTGCATAAACTGAATGATCTGAATGCAATACCTTATGTACGCTCCTTCATTCAATATTTTTCTGACAATATCACACAAGGTAGAGTTTTCTCCAGGGCAATGTGGAAATCCATAAACACCTGCAGGATATTAAATATTACAGCTTAAAATGTACTTTGTCAATCAGATTTGAGGGTTATTATATATGAACACATACAGTATGATGTACATCACCTTATCTCTGACTAGTGAGGGGAACTTCCTATGTGAATAACCAACAGAAACTAATAATACGCAGAAAAAGGTAATCACACCAAGCAAATAATTATTTATTCTACACCATCAAGTAAAACAAGTGCAGTAGTTGGCAGGGGTGTATGGGAGGGTCCTCTGGCTAATGAGGGAGTGCACAGCTGCATATTGCCAGAAAAATTGACCATTAAAAGTGACTATAATACTTTATTTTCAAAATGAGATCTCCTTCCAAATTACCCACCATTTTCTAGTTAACAACCATATCGCTAAAATGGAGGTTGGGTGCCTGGAGTATCTAGGAGTTTCCACTAATGGCAGCCAGCCCTAGATTGAAATAAAACCCCATGACTGGCACAACAGTGCAAGCCAGCCATGAGCCCCCATGCGAAAGGAAAGGAACAGGCACCTGTCACACTGAAAAACATCAGTGGAGAAAAAACTAACAAAGCCTAGGGGAAGGGGGGGAGGGGACGAACATGGCTGACAGAACCTAGCACAAAGGAAAACTGAAACGCGCCAATGAATCACACGATCACTGTAGCCAGCTACTGGGCATTCGCATGCCAAACACCACTGACCTCAGGCACTTAAGGCCCTCTTAGTTGTTAACTCCTTTCAATTGCATTTAAATGCATTAAAAACACATTAAAGAGAGAATTTAAACAACTTTCTTTAAGGGCCCAGTCCTGCAGTCAAAATGTCTTTTTAGCAGTAGGCAGGATAACAAGAGTACCAGGCAGCAAGGACTTAAAATTTTGGTGATATTTGTTAAACATTATTAAACCTAAATGTTGAGTAGGTGGCAAATATTCCACCGAAAGCGTAAAAATTGCTGGCTGCTGCCCATTTTGAAAGGGACCTCTTGTATACTCTTCATAGTACTTGTCTTAGTAGTCAAGATGGGGCTAAAGTGTATTAAACAAAGATTTTCACGTATGTGATCCTATTCAGATTGATAATCAACATTCTCAAATAATAATAATAATAGCAAACCTTGATGCTGTCCACCAAAGCTGATGAGATTCAACATAGGAGGGTTAGGACACTTTTGGGCAACAGCACGGCTGTATTTTTCAAGTGAACAAGACCAAGTTAGTAAAAAAATGCTCTTAATAAGGTCAGTGTTTTGGAGGCATCTTGTTATTTGCAATTTGAGAACCCGTTGGTTGTGACTTTGTGACTGAAGCTTGGAAATAACTATTGAACCTTTCAAAACCCTCACCTCCGGGACAGGTAGCCATAACCCAGACTTGCCAAGTCTCACGATTTTACGACCTATCTCATGCTCTCACGAGTTGGCAACTGATTTCTCGTGATTTCTTCTAAACTCAAACTCCAAAAAATAATTGGGAGTTGTTGGGTTCATTTCCTAGTTTAATAGATATTAATAGATAGCTACTACCAGTTGCAAAACTGTTGAGAAACCCCAGTGAAAAACTGGCCTTTTTCTACTGCAAATCGCTGCTAGTCACATGTCTGTAGGTTAAAATACCCACCTCCCTCCTCCCCTTCATTGAAATTTGCATGTTCCTTAGCATGGTCTTGTATTGCTAGCAACTTTGATAAGGGGTGAAGGGGGGATCACAAGCACAAGATCATGGGCAGGCCATTTAAGCCTAAAATAAATAAGGTACAGTGTCTCAAGTACTTTTGCAACTGGTTGTAGCTCACTCCAAAGAAAACGCTTAGCGGTTGCGTTTGATTACACTCTTCTAGGCTACGTGACTTGCCGCTGCCACCAAATGTGAAGCTGTTTCTCTGAAGATGGCCTCCAACAAAACATAGAAATTACAAAACCTAACTTGTAAAATTGATTCTAATGTTTACTCTTACAGCTTTAAAGTGATGACTTTCAGTACCGATAATCCCCACTGATATTCCTTCCAATAGGAAATTTGGGACATCTCATGACTTTTTACCCACTTCTAACTACTTTTCTCAGCTACTAGGTTCAGAGTCGCACATTTCTTGACTTTTGGGGTTGGCAAGTCTGCATAACCCATTGAATTACAGATGTCACACAATGTTTGCAATTATTTGTATTTTTCATATAGACCTAAAAACACCCCTTCAGATCCATTTATCCCCTTTAGATTCATTTATATTGTCATGATCAGAAATTCTCATAAGCTAACAGAGAAATGGGGCCTGCAAACTAGGGGTCAAGGAGCGCATTTTTCCATTAGTTTGTAATGAATCTTTATGAAACTAATATTATAAGTTCAACATGAAAAATTGATCTATGGTGGTGGTTTTTTAATAAAATGACAAAATATGAAAATTGCAATTTTGTGTGATAGTTGTTATTGCTGACAGGTTGAAACAAGAGTAAATGTACCCAAAGATAAACCAAAGTGGTCTTTGTAGAGAAGAGGACACTAGCAAGCACAGCTGTCCTCATTGACTTACTAATGCAGTTTCAGACATTGTCAGTCATTACTTTCTATTTAAGTTGTCACTATGATCTATGTAGTGTATTTTGAAAGATATCTCAAAGAGGTATTCCTGCTACTAGTTAACACTTAGAGCAATGTAACTTAGAAAGATGTAAAGTAGCAAATCATATAAATAAAATGAAATCTCACTTACAAGAACTGACCACCTTGTGAGAAACCCAGAGCATTGTAACCATTCTTCAACTTAGGATCTGAGGCAAGTTTATCACAAACCTGTTTGATCTGTCAAGAATAACAATAACAATGGTTAAAACTAAATGCACAATAAATGTAAAGGGTGTAAAAGTCCTTAGTTAATTTCAGTAACTCATGAGAGTATAATTTTGTTACACTTGCTATTACAAACATTCTTGATGGAAGTGTTTTGGAAAAATCACTGCACTCCAGGTAGTAACTGAAACTATATACCCCTCTGAACTGTCTTTAAAAAATTATAGCACATGGATTGCACCATGTCCTCTGGCTTGGTAAATACTACCTTTAAATTTTAATGTTTTAAGTCTGTCTTAGATCAATAAAGCTTGATTTAGTTAACCAGTTACTTAAGGTCTCGGTAAAGGAAAACGAGGTGCCCACAGAAAAAAATTCTAGTCGCATGAGTATTTTCGCTACAAAGGCAAGTTATATATCAAATTAAAGCTAAAAGACTAAATTACCTTGTAAAAGATTTTATTTCATCGAATTTCAAAAGGTACTTAAGTGTTTTGCTCTCAAACTCAGAGGTATCGAGTTTACTGCTGAAGCTCCAGCCCTTTTCCGTTGTTAAATATTCACTTCCTTTTTATTGCATCTGATTGACAGATAAAAGACCCAGAAAAGAGTGTGAGGAAATTTGCATATGTCTCGTATTAGCAGAATTATTGCATTTCAAACTAAAAAGTCGAATCTTGAGCGCGATTTACGCAAAGAAACTGACATAAAATGAGTTACAAAGGGAAATCGGAAAATTCCTCTCACCCTTTTTGAGTCTTTATCATTATCCATCATATCTGAAAGTTTCAAAGTGATAGCTTAAAACCTGTCCCGACTGGAGGTCGGAGAATTTTGATTTTTGCATCTAAAATAGAGTGAGAGAAAATCAGCTCTAAAGATTTAGCCCGAGGTCCACACTTGGCTGGTTAGCTCCGCCCCACACTTGAACCTTAATTAACTCTAGCCAATCAGCTTCCGCGCAAGTAACAGAGGAATTAGTCATGGTCATGGTCATTCGTTTGTGCGGGATTGCGCGGGAAGTTTTGTTAACACTTCGGCTTGGTGAAAGGTGAAATATTCGGTAGCAAGCAATCCCTTCTTCTTAGCGATGGGGAAAGTTAACCCTACAAAGAGAAAATCGCGTAAGGGGAAGAAGAAAGAGACAGCAGAGGTTCCTATTTAAAAGACGGAAGCCAGGCGCCTCATGTTACGGGAAATTTGTGAGGAAGGGTATGTAATCTTAGCGTTTCAGCCTGGGCTCAATCGCAGTGCAATCGAGCAGATTATGCTTAAAAGCAAACATTTTAAATAATGTGACTCCGAAATCAATCTGCTCGATTATCTTAAAGAAACTGTAGTGATAAGGAAATGCAGAGGATAATGAAATCATTGTTGATTATCAGGCCTGTAGGACTACGCAAATGTCAAACTGTCACATGGATACTCATGCATTTTACGTGCAAGTCGTGGCATGCGTGATAAAAATAAAAATTATATATTTACCCTAATATTTATGCGAGTTATGCACAGCATCCCAGAGTGAACCCAATGAATTTTCTAAGGATGAGCCCTTTCTTTTACTTGTTATTTCCAGATACCTGGAATTGCAGTTTGATCTACTGTTTTGTTACTAGATATGACGGGGAATTTTTCGCCGATAATTTGGAGACAAAGATGGCAGATCGCATGAAGCAGGGAAATTAAAGCTTCCACGGAGGATACGATATCCTGAGTATTGTCATTGGGCGCACTCTGTCATGGTAGGTTGGAAGGATGGACGCTTACTCTGTAAGGGGAAAGTAAAACGTCTTATGAATTCTTAGCAGAAAGCCTTTGTAGCTTGTAAACAGATAAACATTTCTGGCGCAGGCTAATATAATTCAATATTTCAATATAATTATTTATTGTACAGGTCTAAGCAAAACAGAAAAGGCTTTTTCATTGTTTCACCACAGTTCTAATGACTTATTTTGATTTATCTAGCGTAAAGAAATTGGTCCAAGCGATGCTCAATTTAGCTTCCCGAGCACAGTGCTAAGCTTCATTAGGGCTCTTGTCCCTGGTGACGTGGTGGGGTAGATTCCAGACGTAAGAATACATAAGAAACATAGTTTAATAGTTTTAACTGTAGCATTTAATATTTATTTTTATATTCCAGGATGCTTTTCAAGTCAGCATGAAAGACTTCTGTACTGCCTTGGAACTACCTACAGCTCAAGAATAGGCAGCTGAAAACATTTTTTGTAGAAATTTAATAAAGCATGACATTTCTTTTCAATCTCAGTTTCTGATTGATATGTACATAGGACAAAAGTCACTTAATAATGTTACTGTATAGTCAATGCTATTTATCTTACAGAATCCAAAAGCAAGGGTAGATGCTCTGTTGATATCGAAAAGCTTTCCCCATTTACTTGAGGAGTTAAAAGGCATCTGAATGAGACTACAATTCGCATTCATGCAAACGAAGCCCAATCTCACACCTTGGCCGCTGCGCTCTTCGAGTTCCTCACAAAACACTGGGCACTGGCAAGATTTGTACACAAGTGACCTCTCGATCGCTCCATTCAACAAATTTACATCAACTACAATGTTGTTTCTTTTCTCTGTACGGTCTTCTGAGTCGATTCCAGAGCAAAGTTTCTGAGCGGAGACGCTTGCATTCGACTCTTCCTCCTCTAGCCAATTTACTTGATCAAGCCATGATCCCTTGTCTGACTGTGTCAGTGTAGTTTTCTTATGCTCCGAAATACTTTCCATTGTCTTTCTCTGTTTCTTCCGTTTCTGTGAGCTAGTCCAGGGACAGTGCGATTTCCGTTTCATAGGCTTCATATTCCGTAGATGTTTTGATGATTGTCGAGAGTAAGTTTCCGAAGAGAGTAGAGTGTTTTGAATTATCGAGCTACGTCAGCACACGCTCTTGAAATACAACACTTGAGTGTTTTGTCACGCAATAGACAGGGGCTGTCAATCACTTTTCACGCGTAACTTATGACGGGGAAACAGAGAACGCTCATTTTAGAAGGGTTAAAAAGAACTTTCTGATTTTCCACTACGAGCCTCAGCGCTCCGGAAGTTCAAAAATTCGTACCGTCTGGTTGCTATGAAGTGACGTAATCATCCAGTTGAGTATCCATCACCGTAACACTTTTGGGGTCAACTACCGCAGCGCTTGTAAAGTACTTTAATTAAAACCATGTTCAAAACCCTGTAGGAAGTCTGTTTATTTTTGAGTCGGTTAATGCACTGCTGACTTTCACGAGGTCAACTTTTGCATAAATTATCAAACATTATGTTAAGCGGGAAATCTACCTATGGTTCGCGGGAGAACCAACTTCTATAGCGGCGCAAGACAAATGTTTCGAGAGTCGAGGATGTGCTCACAAACTATTCATTATGCGACAAAAGGAGAAATCACTGGCATGATAGCTGCATGTAATGGTAATTTTATCAATCCAGGTCGCGCCGTGTTCGCTCGAGAACGCTGTGACAACCTCATTTGGCGCGCTTCTCAATACTTCCAAAACATGTTGTAATCGGTAAGTAGACTTAAGCACTTAGTATCGCCAAGCCATTCGAATCAGTGTATACCCAATTCTTTGTCTGAAGATTCTCGCAAACACATATACCAAGTAAATCTGGATGGAAGAGGAAATTGTCTCCCTAAACGCAGCCAGATTATATTTTGAAGGATGGCGGCACAATTCAACGCGTCTTCCAGGTCAGCCCTAATTTATAGTTCGTAAGAGTATAAATTGCGATCTCCCTATTTTCGCTTAAGCTTTTTTTGATAAAACTTCAGTAGAAACAAAACAACGCAGACATGACATTCTCCTGCATGAGACACAATCGGCTGAAGGAAATATCTGTTTACAAGTCGGGTAAATTATCCATTCTTGCGCACCGCAAAATCAGCTAAAATCAGTCGCTGGAAACCTGGCATATTATTAAGCCTGAGCGCTTCTAAGAATAACACGTTTAGAACTTCGACGCGTAGAAAAAAAAGGCAGTTGTTCTATATCCTTTCTGGTTCATCCAGGTAGAAGTCCTGGCATATTATTATGCCTGAGCGCTTCTAGGATATATAACACGTTTAGCATTTCGACCCGTAGCCGTAAAAAGAAAAAAAATAGGTAGTTGTTCTATATCCTTTCTGGTTCATCCAGGTAGAAGTCCTGGCATTTTATTATGCCTGAGCGCTTCTGGGATATATAGTAGCAGTTTGACCCGTAGAAAAAACAAACTCAGCCATTCATTTTGTAGGAGATATTTAAGCGTTTTTGTCTGTGTTAGCAATGTGATCGACTTTATACGCAGACCTTAATAACATGTTTTTTTCTTTGACGGCACTGAATAATTTTAGCCGAAACCTGAGCCGTACATTTGTTGAATGCCGCGCTTTTAATTAAATTTCCTCGCCCTAGAATGATGACAGGATGGCGCGAAAATTGACGCCTCTATCGTATTAGATGAGAAATATGATCAGAGATAAATGGAATAGTGAATGTTAAAAGCTTCTGAGTATCCAGCTGAGATAGGGGACTTTTAGTCCCCTATCTCAGCTAGATAAACAGAATTTTTTTGGTTGCTAAGACGGTGCGGCTCGTTATGTTTTCTGCCAAATAAAATTTAGGACCCACTCATGCCAAAATTAAAAAAAATTAAAAAAATCGAGCAATGTACTAAAATTTTCATTTACCAAGACCTTAATACATGTACATAATAAAAATATTAATAATACCTGGTCATTTGCATTCATGAAAAATCCATTTTCTGTATCCTAAAGCAGAATTAATGAAAACAATTGAAAAAATAATCTTAAACTGCAGGGAATTAAAAAGCTATTAGAAAAAACTGATGTATAAAACAATGTAATTTTCACAATACTTATAGAAGACTTTATAACAGAATGAGTACTCCAAATGAAAATGAATTACAGCACCTCAATGATATTGTTGCCAATCATTAAAGAGCGCACATAAATGCCGGGAATCTTTGATTCCAACATTGACTTGATAGAGCCCATGCTCAAAGGATTACAGCATGAGTCACCTACAATGAAAATTATATTAAAACACTAAATTTCCATAACAATCAGCTGTTACTGAGGTCTAAAGATTATCATAAGATTATGAAAAACCATTTTTTGCTTGGAGAACCTAGGACTTTTCTTGGTGACAGAACTTCCTTATCTGCCCTTGTGTTGCAGAGCAGGGAAATATAAATTTTGTCATGGGAGTACAAGATGAAGACTGTTATTGAATGTAACCTTTCCCCAGCGAAAAGACATAATAATTTGTTTAGTCATTTGTTGTGTTGGTGTCGTACATTGACTGTATGAAAAATTAATATATGCATCCTGCAATGATCAAAGAGGGGGGCGTAAGGGGGGTATGAACACCGCAAAACTGCACAGATAAATGTTTAGAAACTGCACAGAATAACATAAAAAAACCGCAAACTGCATTGAAATTACCCCAAAATTTCTAAATACCACAAACTGCTTGGTTTTGTCAAACTGTCCGCAATACCACAAATTAAAATAAAAATTTCTGCAAAACCACACCAAAAAACGAGCAAAACCACATCACCACCAACCCTTACACCCCCCTCATCAAGCTTGATTCTTCTCTTCCTCTGGCCTTTCTTTTGATCTTTCATATTACAGCTGTACATCTGAACCTCAGTAGAGTCCTATCAAATGGTGCATCTCCATTGCCAGAACAGCAGAGATTTCCACCAAATTTTTTTCAAAAAGTGAAATGCCTGTTGGTGTGTATGCGGTAATATAGACACATTTGGAATTGACAGATGCGTTAACAAAAAAATAATGGCTATCAGCATGATGGGCTCCTGGTATCAGTAACAGTTCCGGGGGGAGATTGAATGCACCCATGAGTCCAGGGAAGCCACTTCTGATAGATGACAGGTGTTGGTGCATAAAAGGATCTTATCAGTAAAAATTTAATTAAAAATGAATAATATGTAACAAGGAAGAACGTGGTGGTCCATGGACCGGGGGTCCATGTTTTGTATATGTCTGCAGTATGATGCTAAGCTTTGAGCCCTCCAGGTAAAACAAAAAAAAAGCCTGGATTCCCTTGTGTATGTTCGCTCATGTAATAATAGTAGAAAGACTCCGCAGACTACAGGCAAAGAAAGGTTATTAACGACAGAAACTTCTAGGACGGCTTCCGCATTAGAGTTCCCCCCCCCCCCGGAATCAAAGAAACCTGAAAATGCCGGATTTTCGAGATTGTAAAACGGACAAAAATCATTCACGCATGTTGTACTTAAATAAAGCTATGTGAATGGCTTTTTTAAACGTCAAATGCCTTGGTTTCCGCTATGACACAACGCCAGTTTATAGACGCCGACGAAGCAAACCTACCTTTGCAAAATAACATACAGAGCGAGCGACACACAATTTTCAACTATTTAACAACATTCTACGTACCCATTCCGTGCCAGAGAACCGCAGGAATTGTTTCATTGCTTGCAGCAAAGGAACAAGTCAGAAAAGAAGCGAGAACTACAGCATGGAAAAGTCGCCACATCTTTGAGCGAAAAATATGTCAGCCGGAAGCGTGTGACTCGCGCGTGTCCCGTATCTAAAACTCTTCCCCAGGGTTCTCTCTTTGATATACCACAGGCAAACTACTCTGAATACCAGCAGCGCGGTAGCCTGCGTAGCTGGCTCTATGATGCATTTAATATAAGATACTGTTTCCTAATGACATTTTCAACGCACTCCAATATATCCTACGACGTACCGAAATAAACCAATTTCACATTTTAATCAATATCTGACGTTTTATTTATCAATATTTGGCCGAAAAACTCCAACTTTAATATCCCTGGGAGAGCCATAGAGCGCCAACCGGCTCTCTTTTTCATAGAAACCCTGAAGCCCGACCTTGGAAACATTCGTTTTCTCTCTTGCCTAAACGAGGAAGTTCCTGCTATAGTAGGCTTTTCAGCAATAAATAGTACTGACGAACTTCAATATTGAAATATTGCCCTTAATGAAATGAATTCGTTCAGACGGTTTTGCCAAGATTTTACAATTCGTCATTTTTATCAATATTAACCCCCATTAAACTTTTAAAGTCAAAAGCTGCCCAAAAAGGGCCCTGAACGCCAACGTGGCTTTTCTGTATTAACCTTCGATCTTGGCTCAGCTGGATTTCGGGAAAGACGTAATCTGACGTAGTAAAAAGCCGGGATCGGAAAATACATAGGGGACGTGAATCCGTCGCTTAATTTTCAAATTGTAAAACACTCCTCTTCCAGTTTCTATCATTTGATCTGGACAAAAAACGGGCTAAAAAAAGCTTGGAATCGTTTATAACATAGTAGTATTCATTAGCCTCCAGCGTCGCATTGCCATCATGCACGATATTTCACGGAAGCCTGAGCACGTGCGTCTCTGCGTTAACGTCTGTTTGCTAATTATCTCATTCTGACATGTGATTGGCTGATGTGATAAACACACCCCCAGCACACCTTCTTTACACCCTTTGCTCAATCATGCGTGAACAACAAACGCATGCACATAACTGATGAGCCTCTATTTCCGAAGATAAAGAAAAGAATCGTTGTTGTGTTATCAAGTACGAAACCGTGAGTATCGTTGAACAGCGAAACAAGAATGTTTGCGAGAATCTTTAAACGTGGTCAGGTCCTTTGTGTCGCGAAAAATTTGCTCGGAAAAAACCGTTCCTTTCACGCGACAATAAGGAAGGAATCGCCGCGAATATTGATAACAGGTAGGCTTAGTTTGATCGCTTGAAACGACACGGCTTAATACCCGCTCCTGTGTTGTTATTCAAGAGTTTTTCGCCTCCTTTGGAATGCCCTTCGACACGTTTTAAACATTTTTGGTTTCTTAAATTATTTTCAGGGCAACACGAGGTGTAAAACGAAACGAATAACATGTAGTTATAGATATTATTTACCATGTGTTCAAACTTGGTTCAACCGGGGCTATGACTGCAATTTCCCGGCCCAAAACATGCTCTAAGTGACCAAAGATTGAAAATCGTTTTCGATATAACGGCTTGAACGTTAACCTTCTGTTTGTTTTCACAGGGAGTTTGGGACAACTTGGACGAGGGCTTGCCAAAATTTTAAGGTAGTTGATATGTCCTTAACTCATAGTTATATCCGGTCGATCTTAATTGACTTAATAATTGCTAGGAGCCGCGATGTTGGATCCTCTTTTGGTCCATGTATTCTCTATTGCCTTTTCTTTTACATTAGACAGAAACAGATAGGAATAATTGCTTCATATTTACTTTGAACTGTTTATATAAATATTCAGCAGATGTCTCATATTAACACGGAATGTTAAAAAGTTTGCAGTGAGTAAAAAAGAAAGAACATTTGTGAACGATTGCTGTTTGTTTGATCAGCATTCACGGAAGCAAACAAGATAGAAACAACTCGCTGGCACAAAGGCCATTTGTTGCGGTTAGTTATAATTTGGAAAGGAAAAGAACAACACAATTTTTAAATGACTCTCCAGACAGTTACGGTGTTAAAAACTACAGATGTAGCAGACATTTTGATACCCTGCGAGCAGAGGCCCTTAGATCTTCCTAGATAAGTCGGCTTATCTAGAAAGGTCGAAGGGCCTCTGCTCGCAGGGTAACATTTTGATAATTAGCAGACATCATTTTTCATTATAAGTTGCCTTTCCATCTCCCTCCTCGATCTTCCAAGAAAAAAGATGAAATAAATTTAAGTGTCTCTAAAGCTCATTTGAGTGTTCCTGATCCCAGAATCAATAAAACTTATTACTGTCTTGATACTTATAATACCGGAGTTACGTAACCCTGGGTGATTAAAAATGCAAAAAAGTCTTTTGAATAAGTTTGTTATGTAATATATTTTTCAATTAAATAGAGAAAAATATGGAAGAGATAACATCATTATGTCAGATATAGCCAAGGCATCCTGGGATGTATTGGAAAGTGGTAAGTTTCCCCTTATCTGCTGGTACGTTAATAATAATTTATTTATTTTTTCCTCAATGTACCATTTTATAATCATAATATTATGACATTTTTAGTATAGCACTTGATTTTATTTGTGTATTAAGAAGCATCAAAAGGTGAAGCTGGTCATTTCAAACCACAGAGTCAAAAGTTTATAATGTAATGACCTTTTTCTTTGTTAAAGTCTCACTCCAAGAGCATCAGACTTTGAAACATTTTGACATAATAATAAATAGAATTAAGGTAGCCTGAATTTCAGACAATGACTTCGAGTCGTTTTTACTGCCTCAGTCACCGTTAAGGGGATTACAAATGACTCAAAGTAATTGTCTGAAATTCAGGCTAAATAAATTATTAAGGATGAAATTTGATTAATATTTTCATCTAGGACCATACATTTACGCGGACATTTTGGACTTCAAGAATCTACAGTCGATTGTTGTCAATGAACGCATTGACTGGTTGGTTCATTTTAGTGCCATTTTAAGTGCTGTGGGAGAACAGAATGTGTCACAAGCCCTGCAGGTCAACATTGAAGGTGTTCATAATATTTTGGAACTGTGTCGCAGGAATAACTTGCGCCTGTTTTGCCCAAGTACAATTGGCGCATTTGGTCCCGAAACCCCATCAAATCCAACTCCTGATCTGACTATTCAGAGGCCAAAAACAATCTACGGAGTTGCCAAAGTGCATATGGAGCTCCTTGGAGAGGTAAAGTAATAGAGAGCTTCCATAGTTAATTGTAAGTCAGAATTTTTCCAAATCATATTTCAAGTCAATAAATACAGCGTTATTTGCAGTTTTTTTATGGAATAAAAATTGGCATTTCATAAAGATCAATATAAAAGGCCTTACAGCATAATGTTATTTTCTCTTTCAGATTATATATTTAGATGAAATAATAATATTGGCTGCACATGAATATAGACCAGCAATACTGTACTTGTTTTAGCTGATTCATTCTGCTGGGTAAAATAAAGTTGTTGTTTTTTTACCTTAATTTTACTCTTGCATAGTACTACCACCACAAGTTTGGTTTGGACTTCCGCTCAGCAAGGTTCCCCGGGGTGATCTCGGCAGACACTGCCCCAGGGGGTGGTACAACTGACTATGCTGTCCACATATTCCATGAAGCATTGCGACAAGGCAAATACAAATGTTATCTGCGCAAAGACACAAGGATGCCGATGATATACCTACCTGACTGTCTGCGAGCTACTGTTGAGCTGTTGGAAGCACCTTCAGAGAATCTGAAATTGCGCACATACAACATCAATGCCATCAGCTTCACACCTGAGGAACTGGCCAATGAGGTGCGCAAGTTCATTCCCAGATTAGAAATGGCATATGAACCAGATGAAAGGCAGGCTATAGGTGGGTACTACAAGTACTGTATATTAAGTATACGATGGTTATAACTGACAATGTTGCAAACTGCATGTAAAAAGAAGTAAACAAAACTAATTTCCTGTCAAGTGCTGTCAATCTCAGTACCCAATAAAATTATAAATCATAGTGTTTTATTTATAAATTATAAATCAGTGTTTAATTTTTTTCAGACTAGTATAAAATTATATTTAGTTACTTGGCTTAAAGTGTCTCATTTCATGCAAATGAAATCTGCAGATCTAAAAGCGAATGCACCCTTAACTTGACCAAATAGTGAGTAAAATTGTTTCTGAGCTGATTAACATTCACTGAAAGGGAAATATGCAGGAGAAATAATTATTGTCTTTAATTTGTTATTGATCATAAGTGTCTTTCATTTTAGCGGATAGTTGGCCACAAGTCTTGGAGGACAGCAATGCACGCAGGGATTGGGGCTGGCAACATGAGTATGACCTCAATGCCATGACAATAGCCATGTTGGAAGCACTGGCACCAACAGTAAAATCCTCTGCAGCTCAGCTCCACTAATCTGACCAAGTATTGATTTAAACTCAGCCTAAAATTATTGACAAGCAACTGCAAATTTAACCTAAGCTGACATAACTGCATTAATTTGTGTGTATACATTCAATATTAGTAGCTTAAAGCTGATTAGGTGTTGTTTAACTGTTAGCAGTCCCCTATTTGACTGATATAGTATGTGATTGTTGAAAGCAATCTCTGATTCAAAAGGTCACTGTTAGTTATTCATTTGTTGTCAAGTTTCGCTCTCCATTTTATGAATTTATTACAAAATAAATCTTAAACTCTTCAAATCCTAAACAATCAAAAATAAAAAATAGGGGGCTATAAACAATCCTAGCTGGTCAGAACTAGATTTAGATATACATTGTTGGACCAAGTCTGATAATTATAGTCATTTTGCATTATTTACCTATTATTTTTATTTAAATGCAAGTAAAAAATATACCCAGGCAAACAGGTCTGGGCACTAAATGGAACCCTTTGTACACTGCATAATTATAATAAGTTATTATTCAGCATGTGTTATATAATGCAGTATAGACTAAGATGACTGTGTTACAGTGTCCAACACTTAAGTGGGGTATGTAGATGTAGTTATTTTCCTTAAAAAATATGAGAAGACACTCCAGAGGTCTTTTTGAATTTCAAGACTTTTTCATTCGTCTTTACTGTCCCAAATAGGAAAAGTATCTTAAGACTTTTGACATTGTACATAATGTCAAGGTTAAAGTGATGGTTCTATTATATTTAATGAATAATAATATTTTATTTATAATGTATTTTGTTAGTCTTGCCTCACTTTATAAAAAAAAATGGCCAGGGTTCAGAAGTTAAGTCATGTGGCATTTTATCTACCAAATTATAATAGTCATTATTTTTACAAAAGTTGCACATAGTAATTATGTTCACCTACATGTATTTGCAGACACCAAAACCGTGCTATATTTCCTCAGATAAGTGTTGCATCTCATCTTACAACTAGCCCTTCAACCCTCTTTTCCCAAAGGAGGTGTAAGGAGTCTCATATGTAGGGAACAGGCCCCAGTTGTTCAAAAATTGGAAAGTGCTATCCGCTGGATAAATCACTATCCACTGGACTATCCACACTGGATAGAGATTTATCCAGCAGATAGCATTATCCATCTTTTGAACATTACTGGGCCCTGGATGGTTGTTTTTTCATCCAGGGGCATAAATTACAGATTTTTTTTAAAATTTGGTATCACTTAAAAAGTACACTTCAGGTAGAAATAAAGTATTCGATGACAACTTTTTTACTGGAAGTAAAATTAACATGATTATAAAAATATAAGCTCTTAACTTGACTGTTTGCACAGTCTTGTTTTAGAATGACAGAATGACAATTCGTCTCACCATATACTTCAGTGAAGGATTGGAAAGGGTTAATATGATTCATTAGAGGAGTTTTATTACAGTATTGAGGAAATGAATCTTGATACAGATGTCCTTGAAGAAACATTCGCTTAACGTGGTCTTGTTCCAATCTTAATCATACAGTCGTTTGCGCTAATAAACCATGCCATGTTGTGATATTATGTCAATGTAAAAAATAAATAAATCGAGAAATTATTTAGATCATGGGTGAATCTATCGCAAGACTTGTTCAGACTCTCGATTCGCACAGGAATGAAGACTCGCACCAAACTGAAATTCAGTTCATTGAAGGAAAACTTAAACTCCCTCCTCTGAATAAGTACTCCCCCACCCTTACCCCCTTGGATAAAAATAACATTTTAAATAAGCCCCTGAGTGCTCACTTCTTTTGGGAAATACAGACCATATTTTAAGATTGTGGGTTGCATACATTCATTTAGTAAACATTCCTTGGTTGTACATAATCTATGGTTGAAACACCAGTTCAAACAAGAGTAGTGTAATCTGCGTAGCAGGTGCTTGGAAGTAATGGGCGCAAGAAAGAACATGGAGTACAAGGGAGTCTCTCTTGCACGCCTCGTTCTTTCCTGTGCCCATTACTTCCAAGCGCCTGCTACACAGGCTAAAGCAAATGTTATAATTTGCCATGGAGTTAAATAAAGAAATGCAATTAAAAGAGGGTATTTATATACTTTAGGTTATTATTATTGTTTTTATGGGCCTTAACCTCAGTGGTACCATTTATTATGGCGTTAATAAGATGTCAGTCAGAATAACTAATATTAATTATCATTACTGGTATGTTATATAATTCATTTTTGCATCATGTTATGATATGATTGTTCTTCTCTATTGATGGCTTAAATTTATTATGCTGCATGTACAGATGCAAAGCAATTAAAATGCGAACTAAATTTAATTTTTACTTTCACTTGTCCTACCAAGAACTTATGATTCCAGTGTACTTAAGTGCAAATCATTCATGCAAATTTTTGCTTACGATTCAAATTTAGTATGCATTGTTAATGGCAGTTTGTGCGTCAAACAGTTAATGATAATTATTGGGTGTACTCTAAGGCATTACATGGAATTCAAAATAGCATGACTTCAATAATAAATTTTGTAATAATTCAAGAAAGTGTACTCCTGTGTTACTGTTAGTGGTATAGTACAGTCCATTCCCGATAACTCGAACCCTTGCTTACTCGAACTAAAATCAATTTCCCCTGGATTTCCTTCACACATTTACTATAATTTTACCTCGGTGACTCGAACACTTGACAACTCGATCCTCCCTCGGACTCAAAGTAAGTCTTGTTTCCCTTCAGATCATTTCTATATAAATTTACCCTCAATAACTTGAACTATGCTTTGAGCGCCTGACAAGCTAGTTGAAAAAAAAAGTGCACTGCAGTCCAAAACATTGAATTTATTCTAACAATCATGAGTTATGTACTTTAATGTCAGTCCAGTTTAAATACAGTGTCCAACACTGAGTATTTATCAAGCCTTGAAGTGTACGTGTTACTTGAATTCATTCCCCATCCCATTCCCTTAAGTTTTGGTATTTACTTCGAACTTCCACTAACTTGAACTATTTTCAATTTCCCTTGAAGGTTCAAGTTATCTGGAGTCGACTGTAGACATTATTTCGTGGGTTGATCATGAGTTATCTGTCTATCCACCTGCTAAGTTGGGGGCATACTAAACACCTATATGCAGGCTATAAATACTCATCCCCAGGGATAACAATGTAAGAATATTCCCAGCAAAATAATGTTTGGGAGTGCCGATGATTAAGCACTTTCCACACCCCCACCCATGTAGACCTTCAATGGCCTTAAAATTACTTCACTTTGGCAATCCCCGTCTGTGTTACTTTGCCCTGTCTCACCTCACTTACCAAATTTAATATCCTGCTATTTTCTCTGACCAGCCTTGAATATTAATATTTAATGCAATGATTAGACAGCTGCAGTATACCAATGATCTGAAAACCAGTTAGTCATCAAAACTTTCAGTAATTTTATTTTCTCTACTGAAGACAGTCTAGCACATCTGAAGTCCTTACAATCCTTGAACATTTTCACACAACAAGGCTTGGAATTCCAGACCACACACTTTAGCTTCTCTTGTAAGTATTTTACATCAGAATAAAAAATCTATAATTAACAATTAATGAATGAGGCTGAGTATCTTATGAAGAATTATGGAGATCGAGTAGGGTGTTATCCGTCGAGGCCGTAGGCCGAGGTGGATAACACCCTCCGAGATCTCCATAATTCTTCATATGATACAAAAGCCGAATTCAATAATTATTTTATTATTCATTCAAAATTATTCCTAGATTAAAAACATGGCTAAAACATGCTTGCTTCCATCCATCCATCGATGTTAAGTTTATCTTCGATAGTGCACGTTTAGGTTTGTCCACCTCAGCAAATATTCTCCAAATAGCAGATGTCGTCCTTCGAGCTGTCTTCTTGCTGTTCTTGCCATGTTTTTAGCTATTTTTCGCCTAGTTCTTACTCTTGAAACAAGTGAAATGTCCGCCATTTTTCAAGTTCACAATCAAAACAACTCAACTTCGTCCCCAGGTCTTCACGGTTAACGGTGCCTTAACCTGCGAAAACGCTGCATTTTTTACGTCATTTCCTCATAAAACACAAAATTTCTTCCAAATTTGGTCATCAGTAACTGGTTATGGTGAATTAAACGCGTGCTTTTAGCCAATCAGAATCGGGAAAATATTTTGAATGAATAATAATCACAATTTAAGATAACTGTTCACCAATATCACTATATCAAATAAAATCAATAACAATTCCATCAAATTTATGACAGTTAACGTTGCTACTTGAAACACAAAAATAGTAGTAATAAATTATTTCCTCCTATGAAAAATACTGTAGCCAACTGTGTGGTTGGAGCCAGCGGTTATCATTTCACCCTTAAATCCTTTGCTTTTCATGAAAAAAAGCATAAAATGGTATTTTTTTTTTTATCATAATTAAGATTTCTAATATATTTTACAATTTGTCACTAGAATTTTATTAAATCCTTATAAATTAAGGTTATTGGTTAAACAAAGGTCGGCCTGCCGACTGACATAGTGTTGTTACTTACACTATAATGCTAATAAATTACTAAACGCAAAGTGTACAAATGTGTATGCACATGTATGTGGTCCATACCAAGTTTAAATTATTATTTAATACAATGAAAACACCTGCATATTAATACTGAAAAGTTGTTTAAGGCAATCGCAAAGACAACAATCGTATAGCTAGGCCTGACTATTGCCAACTGCCCGCAAATATCCACAAACATTAAAAGTTTGAGTGAAACAAGAATGATTGCAAAACCCCTGCAGAAATCTGAGACAGAAAAAAACCCTTTGTCAGCTTCCCTGATTTGCTTCTAAGCATTGCAGACAATGAGTATGTTGACCATTTTGTTTGCAGAGTCAGAAATATCTTGTGCGGTTAAAATCATTGAAATTTCCAGTTGCCAAGGATGGGCATGTTTAAAACACATTAATAACGAAATTACAAGATGGCAAAATGACTAAAAAAAGGCATGACATCTTGTCTTTTGTCCTAAACAGGGTAATAAATAAATTGAGGGCATTGTCATATATGAGGTATTATTTTAGGATTTAAAATATTGGTCGAGTACCCCCTCAGGGGCAGCAGCTGACACCATTTTGAAAACCGAGAAGCCCCAGAGGAGGAGACCACGGGAACAAGAAAGATCATGTGACTGCAACTAGTCATGAAGAGAAAGTGACAATTAACTGTGATGGCACAACAGTAAGCAAATTTGTCAGGTTTTTTGTATGCTGAGCAGAGTTTTGCTGGTTCAAAGAAGGCGAACAAAGTAATGACTGGACACCAACAAGAAAGAAGGAGTCAGTTGCTTTTTCTGTTTAGAAAATCCATTTCGCCATTCTGTGTTTTAAACATGCCCACCTGGGATTTTTTCAACATATAAATATATTATAATATTAACCCATTTTAGTAGTTTCTTTGAGACCAAGAAACCTATGCACAATAGTTCGTGAAATGTGTACATTATTAATTTTTCAGAGGAAGTGTTGTTTGTTATTGTGAGTGAAAGTGTTTGCTTTTTCTATTCTTCAAAGAATTAATGTTTGCTTATAAAACTTGCAACTTTTATAACCATTTATTATAAAGTAAACTTTTGATCAGGAAACCAACCCAGCCTGATTTTTTAATTCCTTTTTTTTGTTTGAAAATGCTTCTCCATGAGGTTGCACCATGATAAATTCCTAAGAAAATGATTCTTCTCTGCCTCATACAGACTGGTTTAATAAGTCTTAAACTGAACATTATTAAAAATGTAAAGCTTATTTTGACATACAACAGTATATTTAATTACAGCTGGTATTTGAGTTCAAAATTACTTTTCCTATCATACAAAATGTGCTGCCATTTTGTTTGTCTTGTATTTTTCCTCTTATACACTTCAATTTTGATATACAATATAAATTCTTAAAAGAAAAAGATTCACCAACTTTGGTAAATGGATTATAGCTTTGAACAAAAAGATAAAATTTAAAATTCTTTCATAAATAAACGGAGGCTGTGAAAGCTTCTTTAAAACAATAGATTATTAAATCAAAAATGCTGTATATGTTGTTAGTATTAACAAGTTTGCCAAATAACACAGAATATCATATCCAAACATTCTGAGTCACTGTATGTACACCACAAGTGAAAAGAAAAAGCACATCACACTTTCAAAAATTCACCGATTTATGAATTTGCAAATTCAGCACTTTAGATAGTCTGCATTCTGCAATTTCAAAATTAATGATCTAGACAGCAACATATTTTACACACTTTAATTTTAGCAGTCAATTTCAGAAATCATTTCAAAATCATATCTAATTCTAGTGTCCGCAGTAAATTCAAAATGTGAATGGTGCAGACCATGACTATTTAATTATGTATCTTTAGACTTTATGACTAGTCAACTTTTATAACTATCGGAATTCAATGTATGATAAGTGCAAGAACAAAAAATATTGCCCTTTGTTCAAGTCCTATACAAATATTACAAATTTTCTTAAACAACCTTCACACCGTTTTTTATGTCATTTGTTCTGTGAATAAGGGTTAAAAGTCAATCTGGTACGATGATTCATGCAAAAAAAGCAAGAACATTAAGCAATAATCATCATAATTATATAATAGTAATAGTAATAATAATAATAATAATAATAGTAATAGTAATAGTAATAATAACAATAATACAATACTGTGTTATTACTTTCATTATTGATAAACTATGTAAATCCAACACTACTGTGTGTTTTCAAGCATGGATGGCAGAATGGCTTATCAATTCAGCTTGCCTTTGATATTCATCATCACCTTCTTCTCTTCTTAATCGTGACGATGCCTCAGCATGAAGCCTGACATGATCCTGCAAGTGCTCAGCAATGCAGAACTCCTTTTCACAAACAAAACACTTGTAGGGTCTCTTACCATTGTGAATGTTCATGTGATCTGTAAACTCGTCCTGGGTGAAGAACTTCATGGAACAAATTTTGCAGTCAAAAAGCATGACGGCACTACTTTGTTCTTGTGTGTGCTCCTCAAGGTGAACCTTAAAACTTTCAGCCTTTGTGAAAGTCTTGAAACAGAAGTTGCATCGGTGAAAGGCCCTGTTTGTTTTCACAGGTTGCACTGTCAGAAAAAATGTTGAATAAAGTTAATACATTAAACCTACACATGCGACCACCTCTTGTAATAAGTGACTACTTCCTTAAAGTGACCATCTATGTAAGACACCAAAACTGTTCCAGCAGCTGAAGCCTTATTGTGGGAACTCCTCATAAACTACCATCTCATAAGTGGCCCTGACCACTTTTTGGGGTGAGGGTTTTACAATGTCCATTGTTTTTAACCTCTTATAAGCTACCACTTGATGCATGCATGGTCAGCTCTCTACGTTATTGAAAATTAATCCTCTTCTAAAATGAAGATGATTCCGAACCTCTTTCTGGAAGAGATCCCCATAGCTGCATTTGGGGTGGTTGCTTACAAGAGGTTTGACTGTATAATCATAGAAAAAAAATCATTTGGAAAATATTAGAAAAATCAGATACAATTTACAAACAACATAGTAAAAGGGTCAAACCAAGAGTTCTGAAATACATCTTGATCTTACACCTATCAATGTTAAGAGTGTAGACTCAAGGGGACTACTGACAAGTAGTGTTTACTGGTATTAAAACGATTTTACAATAAAGGCAACTGAGCAATAAAAACCATTACTGTTGGGATCAAGGTTTAGTTGGTGCCTGTCTTTGTTCAGACAGGCTGTTAATTTTAGCTAAATTACATTATTAGCCCTCTTAGGTTAATATCTTGGTAATTTAAAAATATTTACAGAGATAAATATCAAAGGCTGCCAAATTAGGGAAATGCAAACCCCCAACAAATCCACTCAGTTAAACTTTTCTGCCTTGACAGACAATTCCAACAGTCACAACCTCTCTAACAAGGTCATCCTTGTAATACAGGCACTGCTTTATCCCTTGAGTCTGCATTACAGCACAACACACTAAACTAGGGCCAGAAACCTTTGTTGGGAGCATGTCCTACATACATGACTGGTTGAATAATGCAAGGGGGGAGGGAATAGCAGTTAAGCTCATTGCACTGTCCGAAGGTTTGACTGTAAGTGTTAAAGAGAAACATTGCATTCCACTTACCATTATGCATGGCTCTGTGCTGTCGTAATGCACTGATGTGCAGGAAATTCTTGCCACAGTGTCCACAGGGCATGTTACCTGTTCTGTGTCCCAGTTTGTGTTTGCGGAGTGCATCAGCTCTACGGAATTCCATATTGCACTCCTCACACTTAAACTGGTTAGTACCAGTGTGAAGGTTGATGTGTTTTTTGAGATCACTTGACTGTTTGAAGGCCTTTTGACAAATGTGACACTTGAATGGTCTTTCACCTTTTAGAAGATACAATGAATGAATGAGACACATGTCTAAAAATTGCTTTAAAGGAAAATTATTAATAATCTGTTGTTTTTTGAAGTACTGAGAGACAAGGATGGCAACATTAATGCAACCATGACACCCTGAGAAATAAAATCGTGAAATCCTGAACTTCAGCCTCTTCACGGTCTGCACTACACAGTCTGCATCACATTTACACTGTACTCTTCTGTAACTGCAGAATATTCAGTTGAGAGTTTTTTTATATTAAAAAAAATGACTCTCAATTGAAAAATGACTCTCAATTGAATATTCTTCAATTTAGTGCTTGTAGTATACAAGTCATGTAGTACACACTGCAGTGATAAGTGAGACTTGTTTGTGGGATATAACTTACATTAGAGCAGTTTTCTGATTTCAGAAGATCAATTAACTATGCTTAAAATGTTACTCAGGCTTTTGATCAAAAGCCTGAGTATGATGATGGCTGCATTACAAAAAAGCATACATGTACCTGTGTGAATGCGAGTATGATCACGGAGGTGACTGCGTGTCCGAAACATCTTGCCACACACCTCACAGCGGAATTTAAAACGTTTGTTACCCATGTGGATAACAGAATGCTGTTTAAGCAGGCTGGAACGAGAGAATGTCTTCTTACAAACTTGGCAGTGGTGAATGGTATTCTCTGGGGAGCCTTTTTGCTCTGAAAGCGAAAACAAAAATTAGGCCTTGAGCTGAGTGGGTTGAAAAGCTTACCTCAGGCCCTCTAGTGGTCCTGTTTAACTTGTGGTCACTTCATGTACACATGTATAAATCACACTTACAGAAGGATTGTTTCTATGTAGATCTCTTTCATAATGACAGCCTATTTAATACTCTCTTTGAAATAATTTGCCTTTCTGACCTCGTTTGAAATTATAGAGTTCTTTTGTATTTTCCACATGCTAACGAGGTCAGAAAGGCTAATTATCATTTTATAAAAGAGTATATTAACAGGCCGAATTATGAAAGAGGTTTATTGTGACTGTTCAAAAACAGGTTTGGTCGGAGCGAAAATACATTTGACTGGACCATGTGAATGGTCAAACTTTGCCCATCAGTTATTTCAAGCCCACAAAAACTTTAATAATATTTATCTAATATATCATCAAAGTTGGTGTTCATTTGCTTGGTGTTAAAATCTTTCTCTCCCCGTTTTGTTTTGTAAGATCTTTCACTGTAAAACATAGCCATTACCTGGAGAATCAGCTGGTAAAGGTTGTTGCCCACCATCACTTTTCGGCTGTTCATTATTTGATGTATGCCCAGATTCCACAGCTTCAGAGGATTCAGAGTCCTCTTCACCTGACACTGGAGATTTCAAGTCCCCTTCTGTATCATTCTGTTTGATCTGCTCTCGTGCTAGAAACTTCAGCATGTCAACAGACGTCACTTGAGATCTATCAAATGAGGATTTTGATTGATGTGCATTAGCTTGAGGAAATATGGTGAATTGCTTGCTCTCCAGTGACTGGCTAGAAGCAAGCTGCAAAGCTTGTTCCCTCATTTTTAAAAGCTCAAAGGTTTTTTTGGCCTCCTTTAAGGCCCAGGAATACTTTCCAAAGGGACCACCAAATTCTCTTTTCCATGACTGTAGTGATATAGAGCTTTCAGCATTGAGTGGTACATAGGGTACATGCCCCTGGGAAATGCCAGCCAAATAGTCATTTATCACGCCATTTTTCGGCTGCAAGTCTTGGTGTTGCTGTTGAATTACAACAGGTTTTTTATCCAGTTTTGACGACGTAGAATCACACAATGGAGAAATATCTGACTTAAAATGTGCCTCTTGTGTCTTCTCTTCCTCCTTGATCAAGTCCTCTGGATTCTTTGTGTTGTGAGGAGTCACTTGCGAACTTGAATGAAACTGAATGACCGACACTCGATGGCAAGCAACACTGTTATTACCCTCAACAGTCTCTTCTGTCAAGGCTCTTTCCTGTTGGGAATTTTCACCCCTCAAGCTCAGTTCCATAAAATTTCTTTGATCTGTAGAACCACTCCTTGTTGCAAAATGTGAGTCATACAGTCTAGCATTGTTTACCAAAGAATAAACACTGCTAGCTGTAGTAGTCACTGCACATGGCTGATCCTCTCTAGACCATTTTTGTTTCTCAGATGTACATGCAGAAATATTCTTGCTCGGACTTGGTGAGAGTCTAACAGGCAACACAACACCGTGTCCCACTCCTTCTTGTGATGAAACACACTTTTCTTCCTTCTTATAGTTCATGTTTTGAAAAGGCAACATCAAGAATTCCATACCTTGGGGAATTGATTGAGGCATAAGAGGATACATTATTGTATTTCCCTGCATTCTTTTTCCTTCCTGTAATCCGGTCCCCAAGCTGATTGCTTGTGGAGGAGAAACACCCCTTGGTTCCTTTCGACTGGAACTTGACGAATTACTGGAGACATTTGCTCCTTGATAGGTTAAACGTGGAACAACAGTGGGAGATACCAATGGTTGCTCAGGTACTGCTTGTGTTGTGGCTGATGTCTTCTTTACAGGTGAACTTACGTCATCAACCGATTCGGTTTCAGATCCACTATTATTGCTATTCTTCCGAGATGTAGTATGTTGCGATATTTTATGAAGCTCAAGTAACTGATTAGCGACATCCCACTTGAGGTTATTTTCGCGTGTTTCAGCATCAACCTGGATACTGTCACTGGAACAAGAGCTTAGCATCTCAGATGGCACACTGCTTCTTGGTGTCACCACATTATCAGACAATCTGGACCTCCTATCTGAATCATCAGAAAAGACTGTTGGATGGAGTTCTTTATGACGTTCAAAGGCTTCCTCAGATGTAAACAGAGCACTACAAGCAACACACTTGAAGAACTTGTGGACTGAGTTGATATGGCCTCGACAATGATGAGATCGGGTGAATGCTGAGGGACAGATAGGACATTTATAGGGTTTGTCCAAGGTGTGTGTGCGTCGATGCTTTTTAAGGTCACTTGACTGCTTGAATCCCTTGTGGCATATGTCACAGATATACGGACGTTCCCCTGGAAATCAAAATAAAAAAATGTACAGGATTTACTGAACAGCTACATTCTACAGGCCTGGGTGATTTCTTTGTCGATTAGTATTACAGGAATGACAATAGTCCTACTATAATAGTTACTTATAGAGGACCATTCTTGTCTAAATGAATCATTTTGTGATCGATTCACCTTCAGTTGGATGACAACCAGTATTTTTCTTTTTTCAGTAGTCCTGAAAATTAAATGGCAAAAAATTGTTTTGGCCTGTCAAAGAAATGCACTAAATGAGTTCTCTGGAAGCTACAGTAGTCTTGACAGCCTAGGAGAAGGTTCTAACTGGAAACAAGATGTCGAGAGGTTCTTTCTCATAGTGCAGTCTGCATAATACTTTTCAATAACTTCAAATCAGAATGTTTTAAATTTGAACACCCCACTGAAATCCTTTTCAGACTTGATGTCACTGCTCTTAGAGTATCCAGACACAAAAACAATAACAAAATATAGAGTCTCCTAAAGTCCAAGGTCCCTGGGGGAGGGGGGTACTCTGGATTTCAAGAAGCGAGGAAGATCAAATGGGGGCAAAAAATCAAAACCCAAAAAAATCACTAGGGCTTCAAACAAAACCCCCCAAAAATCACTGAACCAAAAATATAACCCCCCAACCACCCCACAAACCACAAACAAACCAACAAAAAAAACACACCACAAAACACCACAAACAAACAAACCACACAAACACAACAAAAAAAACAAAAAACAAAACATCCCCCCCCAAAAAAAAAGAAAAAAAAAAAAAGAAAGGAAACTCAAACGTTAAATATTAAAACTGCTTCAAAACAAGTTTGGTTGTACTTTATTTGTAGATAACAAAACACTCGATCATCCCAGTCACTTGAAATCCAGAGCACCCCCTCTAGCACTTAAGTGGTGAACGCTACGCAAGTGACATCATTTTGGGAAATACTGCTAGGTCAATGGCATGATCCTGACTACTAAAAAAGTTTCACACCTGTATGGACCCTAACATGATCCTTTAGATGTGATGATACCCTAAACTGTTTGCCACAGGTGGTGCATTTGTAAGGCTTCTCTCCCGAGTGTAATCTCAAGTGAATATTTCTGCTGCTTGGGTGACTAAACAGCTTGCCACAGACATGACACTTGTAATATTTCTGGTCACCATGAACATCTTTACAGTGTTGACGGAGCATTGCCAAACCCATGTACTGTGAGTTGCAGCGTTCACATTTGTACATTCGAAGGCGTTTAGACATTAGTGAACCACTCATTTCTTGGGTAAATTCGTCTGTGCCAGAAACTGTATTGGATTGCAAATCTTTGATTAAAAGGATAAAACGAAAAAGACACCTGTAAGTGTGATATGCATTATATATCTCAGTCGATACAATATCAAGTAGTACAAAGTCGAGCCTGGCAGTTTCAGTTCCAATTACCTTGTTGGAACTTAATTTTGCGGGCACTTAATTTTGTGATTTTGGGGAGACAGTTTTTTGTGGGTTTCTATTTTTCACAATATTACTAGGCAAATGTGAAAAAACTGCATTAAATTTTGCAATTCTAGAACTCTAGTAAAGCAATTCACCCTAAGTGACTAATGTGAGACACACAGTAGACAAAACCCGTTATAGATAATTTATTGTTATTATTGTAAAAAAGTATTACATTAATGGTTTTGTCATTGTAAGCACCTTGTTCATCCATATCTTGATCAAGACTTCCAACCTCCTCTGTATCACTTTTATTAACTTCTGCCATTTCCAGATCTTGCTGATCACCACCAGTATCACCTACTCCTTTAACAGGTTTGCTATGAGGTAAATTTTCCTCTTTGCTGTCTCTTGAGAGTTTAAAGCTGTTTTTCATCGGTGCAGCATTGCCACCTGTCAGTTGAGAGTTTTCTGATTCTATCCAAGTGTGATTACGTTTAATGCCTGATTTCCTGTCAAAAGATGGAAGTCTATTTAACAAAACTATTTACTCATTATGTATGTCAAACAGGACATACAGTGATTCATCTGATGTCCAGATACCAAGAAGATGAAAAAAGAGGAGCAGCCAATTTTTTTAAGACCAGGGTGTCTGGGTTGAGATACAGAAAACCTGGCCAGGGCTGTGCACTAGCAGCACCTGATGGCCACTGGTGCCTTCACTTTTGCTTATGGGTGACTAGGAAATCTGAGCTTTTTTCCAAAAATCCTGTGCTAGGCTAGATTTCAAAGGTTCAGAGCAACGGGCTTTGATCCCTTTAATTTTCTTAGAGTATAGCCTTGCGGATGTAAGACATAACTGGTAACATCTGACATATAAAGTAAAGAGTTTGACTGACTGAATTCCAGATGCTACAATGCAGGTAGTCCATCCATAATTAAGATTTGTGCAACCATCTCCTTTAGAGGATATCAAATACTCAAGGTTGAGTAGCAGTATGCCTACGTGCTTTATGCTACAGAAAAGGGGTAACCTTTGGCCATATCAGCTTCATCATTGGCTTGACAGTGTGGCTTTATAATTATTATCTCCACATTTTATATGCTTTTAACAGTAATGCAAATAGATGAGGAAAATTATTTTATTATGTTGGTTTTAAAAACTTTTCAGAGAACACTAATCAGATACAAGCTATTTGACTATGGCAATTAAAGCTAAAGAACTTTTTGAAAAAAATGCCATTCTATGCGTAACAGCCGTACCTCTGTAACACCTCGTCTAAACTCTTACTTTCTCCAACTTTTGATTTGTCCTTCATTCTGAATCACTGCATTCTAGTCAAACAACATTGTAACAAAGAAAAAATTATGCCAAAATATTTATGACAAAGAATTATCAGTACAAAATAATGCAGACTATACAATCTCAAGGATAGGACTTCCTTTATTAATGGTTGGGAAGTAGTAAGTATTGAGGGTATCCCCCAATGATAATAAAGTCTTGCATGTGTGCGTCACTAGTACTAGTTTTGGTTACGATAAGGTTATAATCTTGAAGGGTTTTAGCGATGGGTTCATCCTTCTTTGGTAGGCCTAGGATTCAATGCCATAGTAAGAATATTGTGGCATGACCGGATTTGACTTCTTAAACAAAGTATGTACATGACATAAAAACACTGAAAATACCAAAGCACAAAAAGTTGTACAGTGTAGCTAGAACACATTTTCCTGATTTCTAAATAATTCACCTTGTTTCACTGTGAATATTTCAAACAAACAAAGCAGAAATTTAGGTCTAAACTTGACCCAGTAACGATTTCTCTGGAAGATTCATGTGATTGTGTTCTATAAAAAAAATTGCCTCAGACATTCCCAGACATTTACATCATACAAGGAATGTAAATAGTTTAACATGATCATTCATCATGTGCATAGAATTACCCTGATTGTAGTCTGGCAGACAAAAAAATGTTCCAGTGTTCACCCTCAAAATTGACCTCGGCAACTTTCAACACATTGTCTGAGTTTTTGCTCACTGTGGCAACATAAATAATATCCCAAGAAACCAGTAATTTTTTTGCAATGTTAGTCGGCTATATCAAAAAAATATTCCAAATTCAGAGGTTTGTATTTGAACGCAAAACAAACCAAAGAAAAACACCACAACAACACAATTTATTGAGATTCAAAATACAAGTACATTGTAATATTACATTACTTTCCCACCCCCAAATAGCTTATAACCTAATTGAGGCAGAGGAGGGTTGGAAGGACAAATTTAAAGTGCAAGGTTCAACTATTAGATGGACTAAACAACAATTAAGACACTACAATACAATTAACAGGATAAAATAACATAAAAAAATTACATAAAACTAAGATAATTTGCTAAACAGTTTAATAGGATGGGGGACTTCAACATAATTATCTTAATACCGCAAGAAATCTACTAATAATTTCCTAAAAGCAGTTGTGCTACGAATCTCCTTCTGAAATCGTTTAATAAAGAAATGAATCCAATTATTCATTGTTCACAATTTGATTTGATTGAGAACACACAAAGAATAGATGGCTGCAGCTAACTTACATTCAAAGAACATACATCTGCCAAGCTGATCGACTATGTAAAAACTGACTTTGCAAGACATAAACACAACATTGATAGATCAACTTCAGTAGAGTGGATTGGAACTTGTGAAAGCCGTTTTGCTCTTTTTGTGGCTTATCAGAAGAGTGTAACAAACAGAAAGGCTCTGCTGTAAAACAATGACCACACCCTCTGTTGAAAGCCCTAAAATGGGACAGCAAGATTGTGCTCTAAGAAGAAAATAAGAAATCCAGGATGCTGAGTGTATGGCAAAGTACAATGTCTGAATCAAAGGTTTGAACTTGATTCGGCAGAGCAATCAAGTTCGACAAGTGCTGCACGACTCTAGTACAGATCGATAGCCTCAGTTGTTCAAAAGCTGAATAACGTTACCTAGCGGATGGTAAACATTAGGAAAAACCAATTGCACTATCCAATACTTACAGACTGATCAGGTGTATAGCGTTATCCAATTTTTTAATAAATGAGGCTAGTGATTAAAATGTTGCACTTATGCCAAGCCAAACTAACTTCATAAAATTTGGAAAATGTATTTTTTGAAACTTATATATTTTGTTATCGATTACCATTAACTTGCACTCTGGCACAATGTCTGAATTGAAGTTGTAGTTCTACTGAACCCAATCATAACTAAGTTATTAAGTTTGGCACAGCAGACGCATCACGTATTAACTGGGCCTAAAGTGGGTAAAACTAACAATGTCTGATCAAGCATTAATGCACTTTTTGTTTCTAGAAAGATCTCACAAAAAAATGAAATTTCGATTTCTAACCATTTACTCCTGCTGTTCTTTCATACTTGCTTGGACTGTGAGTTTTCTTTTTTCCTTTAAGATGTGATTTTTAAAAAGGGTGACATACATAATATTAACTAGATAAAGAGTTTTACACGTCTGTTAATTCGGAAGGTCTTTTCCAGAACCGGAGACGGGGTCAAATTTAGTACGCATACGAATACACATTCCATATTGCTTCCGCTGGCAACATTCTCAGATAAAAAATATCTACCGGAAACTGAGTTACACCTGTAAACTCGTTAATGCATTCTACAGAACTAGTATTCTATTTTAAAAGCCTCCGTTGCAAAGCAAAACATGAAGAACAATTATTTCCTTAATAATGAAAATAAATTGAAAGCTGTTATCAAATTTATGCGCAAAGCCCACTTACGCGTGAATACAAGAGGGAAAGTGATGGCTTACACGTGCGGAGCTCAAACAGTTTCATTGCACGACGGGATACTCGGCGATTCTTCCACTTCCCAATCCAAAATGAAGTGAAAAGAAATTTTCCCCGATATAGGTTTATTCAACTCTGAAAGTATTATTCAATAATGCCTAGAATACTGTGCGAGACGGTAGGCATAGAAAAACTGTAATTTACGTGTAGTAACGGAAACTGCACGTGCGGACAATTGGCTTTCGTTTCACCTTCGTCATATATCATCAAAAAGGTCTGCTGTAAAGCGTTCAAGAACAACAAATGTTAAAAAGCTTATTGGTCACAGGGAATGTAATCCTCTAAAGGAGTTTGTTCCACCCCTGAAAACCAACACGCGGAGTATCGCCGGTATGTCAAGTATGGCGGCAGCGCATTACTAAAACGTGAAGGAGATCATGCCTTTGACCCGAACACGGGAGTTGTTTAAATTACAACCAACCTGGTATTTCGGAGAAAACACCGCGAATAAAGTCGATTTGGTGATTAAAGGACTGAAAAAATGAAATAAAACGTCCAAAAAAATCTATGCTGCATATGACTGAACATGGTGGATCGCTCACGTTTCATACGCTAATAAAGAATCACGTAAAATTTCTAAAATTTCAGCCGTATGTCACTGAATTTGCGCGCAAAAAAACGGTTTGAGGCAGAAATATTACACAAAATAGTATTTTCCTTGGTAGTTAGGCGATTTAACCGCTTTTTTAGCAGGCAAACCCATCACATATCATCGACGATGCCAAGGGAAGTAAACGAGGAAATCGACCATGCCATCTTTTGACATCAAATTTCACGTATGATGCTAAAACGTGTATTCACTGATGAAGAAATGCCCTTACCTCTGCAAAAAAGCCCAGAAGATTGTCTTGCTGAAGTGTAAAAGAAGTTTTTAAGTGAAACAGTTAAGAAAGTGGCCACCAAAGAGCAAACTTGAAAGCGGAATGAACTTTTTTCACGTACAAATGAATACCGGCAAGGAACCTTCGCTAGTTTGGTGGCAGCTGGCAGAAAACGTGTTTGTTTTTGATCGACGTGTTCCTTGTGAGTCACGTGGTCAGGGTGCTAAAAATATCGACCATAGTAATAACTCATTTATAGCCTCTTGCAGGTAACATAAGTTCAAGATCCCAACTAGAACTGAAACGGTGTAAATTTAAAGCTCTTTTAAACCGCTGAATACAAAATAAGTATAGATCAGAAAGTGGAAGAGGGAATAATCGATGCTTTTTGGGAACTTTCAGGTGATTTTAAGTGAGCTAAAGTACTTTCGAATTCCTTAGTGCCGTTTCTAAGTAAACTGTCTCAGAAGTACCAAAAATTTGCTCAGCTTTATTTTAGCACAGGATGAATGTTCCTTTTCATGAGTTACGTTTTCAAAGTTCATACAAACAGTGACTTCAAAGGAATTTAAAAGTCATGCGAAAGCGCGTAAGTTATCCTCGATCAAATCCTCGATAAACAACGACATGGGGGTTTCTCCTTGCGCCCAAAGTTGGAACCCCCTTGAAACCGAACCTCCATTTCGTAATTGTAGAAAAAACAGAATAATCAGCATCCTATTATTTTTTTCGAACAGCAACACATAACTTCCTTTCTTTAAACGGAAAATCTATTCTCCTTTACGGACTTCCGCTGTCTCAAATGTTGGGTGAACTGCTCAAATTATAGGATCGCATCGCGTGCACATTATACCTAAATATTCTAAGGTTAGCGGGTAGAACACGCGCTATTTCTGCGTTTTCTAAGGTATAGTGATGTACTAACCTAGTTAATAAGAAGTAACGAAAACGGGTCGAAGCTCTACCAACGCAAAAAGCGTTATTTCTGAGCGATTTCTTAAAACTATTCGGTCAATGGAGCGTCCCTCTTTGCGGTTTCCTTTTGACGTAGTTTCCTGGTGTTCTTACGTGGTTCAGGCGTAACTAAATATATTGTTGCTGTCTGGCCATTTTAGGAAGTATTAAACTCACGAGAGATACACATGATCACATTGTGTATTTTAAAAAGTATTAGCAAAAAATAATAACAATTTCTAATTAATCCTTTTAAATTCCATGTTATTTTTGGTTGATCACATGAGTCATGGAAATCAGCGAATGGCAATTTTGGGTTCACCTTGCCGTAAAATGTAGGTCAAGTAACGAGACTGTCACGGGATCGGCAAAAGGTGTGGTTCAGTTATTGTTTTTGTTTTAATTAATCAAGATGCTTAGTCCCAATTAAAAGTATCCTTTTCCTGTAGTGTCAGACTATTAATAAGATTTTGAGTCAGTACCAGCTATTTAGAAACTGTTCACGGCTTGTTATAGGTGCTTGTTTTATTTGCGGCCATCAAGGCCTCCTTTTATTCAGTCTCCAGTGCATTTGCCTATCATATTACTGTCTATATCAAGTCTATATATAAGCGTGGAGTATATATTTATATATCCCACGCTTCCCGGCTAGCTTCGTGTCTGATAGCTTCAAAGAATGACTTGCGATTGAAGCCCTACTTCCATAACACGATTCACAAGCAACACTCAAATAACTTATTCTTCTTTGAGTAAAATGTTGCCTAAAAACACATCCCAAATCATTTGTTGTGTATTGATTATTACGTAACTACTTTCTTTTTTTTCGCTTAGGACCTTGAGTATGAAATTTTTTTGAAATTTGAATGCATGAAGCAATTTCATTCTTGGACAGTTATGTTAAGTTAATTGCTCTGAAAAGATCAGAGTGTGTAAAAACTATATTGGTTTCACACAGCTTACAGGAAATTAGGGGATCTCCCTTAGTTTTTGACTTCGGAGAAACCACCATTCAAATGAAGCCTTTTCATGACCAGCAGCCCTTTCACTCGATACTAGTTTTGCAAAGGATTTTACATGCATGCCCAAAATTGAATTTTTGAAGCTTGGGTAAGACCACGTTTAAATAAAAAAGGCTTGAGGCCAGAAATAGCTTGCAACTACATTAGACCGCAATCAGTCTAAGCATTTCCCTAAGGCATAAGTTGAGATCTGGCAAGCTATTTCTGGCCGTAGTGATCAGTTTCGTTCAGAAAATTGGACGCTTTATATCAAAATGTTCGTTTCTTAGCTTTAAAGGCCGAACTGTGAGTTTATAATCTCAAAAAGTTGGTTATAACGTGCATGACGCCATATGAACAGTGGATACCTAACCGCCGTACCGCGCAGATTTCATAAGTTCCTATGCCAATGCAATCTCTCTGGCTTCGCTTTTGAATTTATGTTACTCATTTTCAATTTTACGAACCAAACTGAGAACTTAAAGAAGGACAAAAGGAAAAATAACCATGTACATACCTGTAGTTTATATAGAGCGGGTACGTTTTTCAGGCCAGACCGCTAGAACCGATATACGCCACAACTTTAGACAACTTTCGCGTCGTACGCAATAGTCGGAATCAATACAATAAATGAATGTTTAACGGAAAAACCGCAATAAATCGCACTGCGTCCGTGTTTTAAGGCCAAAGCTATCCAAAGTAGAACTGTGGAAAAAATTTCAAGCAAATTGCCGCGCGCTTTGTCAGTTTTTGGTGTACCTTTCGTGTCTCTGATTACCAGTCCTGCTCACAGCAAGTGAAAATAATACCTTACTCATTCCGTACGTGATTTATCCACGACACTATAACCTTTGTTCCGCTGTGGGCACAGCATAATACAGAAAACGTTTAAAGTATTATGTTTTTAATACTTTCTAGATTGTAGCCAGCAATGTTGCCGTCGAAGTTGTAAACCGCCAGAAAATGGGAAGGTTATATACTTACAGTATTTCGAACATGTTTTAAAGCGGTCTCAAATTGTATCTACAATCAAACTCCGAGTCTGTTGTAAATTAGCGATTGAGAACGATATTTGATGTTTATGCTCAAAATAGCCTTGGCATTGAACGTGGTGATAACATAGCTAGAGAAATAACATTTTTTGACCTTTTTCATGTGGGGTCATATTAAGCTTTGTGATGTAAACTCTACTGGAAAAATGAAGATAGGAGAACTTTCCTTTCTACGAAACGTTTCAATGCATTTGCGTAATATTCTCTGCATTATTATTCTCCTACTTTACTTAGCTTTCACATTTTCTTCCCCACTTTTTATTTTTTACTGCAGCCGCCCAGATTTAAACTGAGAGACATGGAAACAAAACAATCAGGAACAACGTTGGTGGCGGCTGTCCCTAAGTACGTGACTGTTTTCAAATAAACCTTCCGAAACGTGAGGGCGACAAAACGGTCAGGAAACCCGGTTACCCTTTTCATAGAAGGGAAGCTTATTAACACTCAGTATTAAAATTCACATATTCTAAGGACATCGCTGAGTATACTCACGTACAACATAGATTCATAACTGTGTAATGTCATGAAATGATACAAGTGGTCGGCAATGCGTAATTGTGCCCTAAGGGCTTGGGTATTCACGGTGTGTGTATTCATGTAACACATGCTATTGGGGGTAGAAATGTTAAGACTTCACACTTCATCAGTAGTAACAGAAGTGTAATACGTCCTCGAATATTCAATTTAACTTATCAAGCAGATTGACCAAGCATAAAATATTTAGTCACTTGTGATATTCGACCACCCGTACTCACCCACTTGGGAGTGGTCAAAATCCAAACTTCAAGTACAATTTTATTTTTAAAATATACTGATAAACAAGTACTAGAGAGTACTGGTTGAAGATCTCTGTTTTCATGGGAACAACTGTCAGTAATGCAAAATTGACATATAAATATTTCAGGTCCTTTAACGCAACAGTGGCTTTGACATCACTAATATCTAGGAGCCCATTCTGTGCGCCTTTAGGCAGTGGAGCCGGAAACTTAACAGTCGATATATGGTAATTGAATTTAAAAGGTCTTAATATATTGTCTTTTGAATATAACTTAAGGCAGTTTGTTCCTATTTTCTCTAGTGATGAACGTCAGTCACAAGACACTGATGCGATTATCAAGTTTATTTCGTCCGGTCGCTTGGCGACGCCGACAACAATGAGATGATCTCGATGACTCGATCCACGACTGATTGATCGCTTTAATATATTTAGACTTTGGTTGCAGCAAGAGCTGTATGCCAGGTCTCGTCGGTTTTTTTTTTTTGTAAATGTAATCGGTCGCGCGATCTTGTCCACTACACATTTTGAAAGTTGCTTACTTTGATTGCTCTTCGCTAGGTTAAAATGTAGAATGGTTTTCACTAAAAACAATTAATTGAAAACCAACCATTGAAGAAGAAATTTCTTTATTCCAAAAAAAAAAAAAACGCTTAAATTTGATCATTAGCCGTAAAGAAGACAACTTTTTGCATTAACTTTATATTACGTTTAAGGGTTAAGGGTAAATATCTGTAAGCAGCTGGTAGGAGTAAGTTTTGCGGACGAGAACAGTCGTTATTCAATGGCGGCTGCTACGCAGTAGGCTAAGCCAATAAGAATAAAGAAAGGCATTAGAACTACACCCAGCACCAGGTAACCAGGCGTCAGGAGTAACACCCACGGACAGGCTGAAAGAGAAACTCAAATAGTTTAGTATGACTCAGTTTTGCAGTTGGGATTATTTACATTGATTTGGGCATCTAGCGGAAAGGGTGAACAGTATCAATATAAAGGAAAATACATGCAGTTAGTAGCTAGTAATAAGAAAGGGTCAGACTGGAGATGGGCAATGAAGTTGAAATGGAGTAAAGTGTGGTCCGTTGAGAGACTGTAAAGGAAACCGGAAAAAAGTGGGAAAGAAATCAAATGGGATGAAAACTGGGAAAGAAGATGTACAGAATCACGGCGGTCGGGAGTCTGACGATATATAGTTTAACAAGACAGCGATCGAGAAGGGGAAATAAAAACAGTGGCGGTCGAAGTAAGACTATAGCAAGAGCCATAATGGCTCTTAGCTGTAGCTAGAGAAGATCCTCTCTTGACATGCACAAAATACAACAATGAACTACAATAACATTATAAAACTACGATAAAACTGTCGCAGTTGAGGAGAACAAAATTCTAATGTATTTTCGGGGAGACTGGATTGGGGTAACGGTATGAGGGACGCTGGGTGTCATGGAAAGGTACAAAGGGAATATAGCGTCGTTGTGATACATAACTCCATGCGCGTCTCTCCAATAACAAATAAAAAAAGGACTGGGGACAAGTCTGTACTTGCTGGGTTAACTGGAAAAGCGTGGTTCTATTATTAGGGTCCCTTCGGGTAGGAAATGAGCACGGAGAATACCTTTGGTGCCAGAGAATTTTCATGCTAGGAGCCTATAACCATGGGCTCCTCGGTCATGCCGATTTCAGTCAAGTCTTTGTACTGTGGTGACTGGCGCGAAAAGCCTCTGGACCACATCGCTATTGCTTTGATAGCCTCGAGCTAATCGCAAGCACGGTTACATCGGCTTAGTCCAGAATTTGGACGTGACGGGGTTGGCTTCGCCACTTGTGACTTCGGCATTTAGCAGAAAAATTCCTAGTTTGCGGCCGTCACCGAAGCATCCTTCCGCACGCAAGCTCGAGAAAAGTACCTCTGTTACCCAGGGTACACAGAGAGCAGACTGGTTTTGTATCTTGATATTAAGAAGAAACGTTGTTAGTACAATAAAGCAACGCACCCTTTCCGTGCAGGCTATACCAGGGGCGTTCTTTTTCACACAGCAAACAACCGTAACAATAATCACAACGGTATTCCAGAGGCTTCCTTGCGTCTTCCCTAGATAGTGATAAATTGGCGTTACTTTATGTATAAAAAAGGAACAAAAAAGCAAGAAGAGGCTAGGAAAGAGAAAAAAAGCTGAGAGTTAGAAAATAGAGTTTACGGCAAACGGCAAACGTGAATTTGTACCACGTGACCAAGTTTCCCCTTTACTTGTCTCTACTGTTTATTATAACTACACGAAAATCGGTAGATTCACGCCAATTCTATCCATAAGAATTGTTTTAAGCTGTTTTTATCTGCTCATTTCTCATTTTGAAAATTTCTCAACTTGAATCTCACACGTTTGCCGTTTGCCGTAAACGCGATGCTTAATCTCTATAATAAGGGGTTCCGGGCAGAGTTGTTCGATCATTGAGATCGAGCTCTCACGGTTGCAAGCATCCATCTCGGTTTCAAATCACGGCAGGGGTACTGTGCGTTTACTCTTCCCCAGGTTAGACTCGGGTGAGACTTGATACATTTGAAACCAAGATGATTGCCCGTAATGGTTAGCGCTCCATCTAGTCGACATAGTGTTACTGAAAAACAGGACACTGTAAACAGGCTACTTTTGACTAGGGCTTCAGGCATATGTGACCGAGGAAAGCTGGATTAAACTCAAATGTCCAACATCGCATGCAGCTTGTAGTCGAATAGCAGGTCCTCGCTAGCGACGCATGCAACACGCACTAAGCATAAGTGACATAAGCATAAGTATAAGAAAAACGCAAGGTTTTGATATATTATTGTGTTTATGTTTATGCGGCTTTATCACGGCCGTTCTTGCTAGCGGAAAAGCTCCTTATGGTCAGAAGGCTTATGCAGCTTATGCTCGCGTCGCTAGTGAGGACCAGGTTCGCTTGCGCGTTCAATATGAAATTTAAGGAAGCAGAATGGACTGAACGTGACTTCCAGTGCTCAATTTGCCGGTCTGCCATTGGTAGAACGATGTGCGTCGTCATCAGTGTCGTCAACAAGTTGTTTTTGCTTGATTTGCCATTAAGCGCAAGAACGTTTTTGTTTTAAATCGGGTGATACTTGGACAACATTGCACTTAGCCTGCGTTCGGATCGTACAGACGTCTGATTATATAATCTTTGGTGACGCGGATTTAGGAGGCGTATGATCTCAGGTTAGGTTGTGCACAGCATTTTTATCGCCAAGAAAATGTTTCGTTCGACTCGTGACGTTCAGTTCTTTCTTTTGCGCACGTGACTGTACTGCACGAAAAATAAAAATTGCATATAATTAACTTTGCTCGGGGCAAATATATAAGATGGAATGGGAAATCAGGGGCAAGATGGTAAATGCTGTATTGGCCCTCGAATTTTAAGCCCGTGTCAGGATGCAAATGAGGTATTTATCATATTTGCCCCTGATTTTCTCTTAGTTTACTCTTCTTTGCACCATAATTAATTAATGGAGCTGTATGCTATGCATGACTTGGAAAAAGTGCATGCGAAACTCCTTAGGATGTTCTACCACGTGTTTGTTTTACTAGCAAAACACAAGAAGGGATCAATTTAGGTTTCCGGGAAACTGCCCACCTACCCCTCCCCTAAGTCAACATAAACACTTACTTCTCACTTGGTGCAAAATGTTGGCTAAAGGGAGGGGTAGGTGGGCAGTTTCGCAAAAACTTGAATTGATCCAGAAGAAGTTCCTTACACATCATTTGTTATCTGTTTTTCGTCAGCTGGTTGCTGTTCAAAGTCCTCTTCCTCCACCTGAACAGCTACACTTGTGCAATTGCGATGTGGCAACAATCTGAAACCAACGAATCGAAGAATGAACTAAGACTTGGTAAAGCTGTGGTCACCTAATCTGGAGGTAGCTTAGCCTGGGACCGGGCTCCGCAGTGGGAGAAAAAGCCAAAACACGGGGTCAAATAGAAAAAATATCGGCAATTCCAAGCGAAGCGAGCTGAGCGGTATCCTGGGGAGGGGGAAAGGGCGGCGCACCCTTTTTGCCATTCGCACGCCGTTTTTTTTTTCGCCAACGCCGATTTTTTCTCCTTTTTCCCACAATGCGGAGTCTGGTCCCAGGCTAGAGATAACTAGAAACGGCACCATTACGTTATTTCCATGGTCTGTACTCTTATTGAACATAGCTTTCGACCAATCAGCGCGCGAGGAATCGCTCAGTTATTGTAAAATATGAAAATTGAGAAAAATCCTAAATTTTATTTGTAAAATTGTACCGTGCAAAAAAACTGCTTAAAAGATTTCCCTGGTAATTGCATAGAATTTCATCCTCAGATTCTAAAGTTAGAACAACATTTTCTCTATTCCTGTTAAGTCAGCGAGTGAGGGTTACTTGACGCCCTTTCCCTGGCAGTTACAGTTCGATTTCTTCAAGAGCCATTATGACTCTTTATTTCTTCTCTTAATTCTCTTAAGTAACTACGAGAATTTTCCTGCCTTCTAGTAACTTTCCTATACCACAAGAGTGAAAGAATAAGGCGTAGCCTTTCCATAAAGCCCGTTTTTCAAATTACTTTCAGGTCCCATCTAGTCCCTTTCTTTCTCTGGTGAAGTAGCTATCCTTTGCCGTGAGTGAGCGACCAAACAAACTACGAGAGGTTAAGCATCACCTTTACGTCAAACGGCAAACGCAAATTTGTACCACGTGACCAAGTTTCCCCGTTACTTGTCGCTTGGTGTTCATTATTTCTACACATAAATTAGTCAGTTTCACGCAATTTTTGTAACCATAAGAATTGTTTTGAGCTGTTTTTATCTGCTCATTTCCTATTTTGAGAAATTCACATCTTGAATCATCTCGAGTACGTGAAGTTCTCTAAATACGTTACCTTATTTCACAATCTTGTATGTTTCGTATATCAACTTGAGTCCCGCACCTAGCAGTGAAATTGAAAACAGGGAGGCCTTTTTGAACTAAATAACTAAAGATCAATTAAAATAGTCTCATAAGAGTTTTGTATCTCATTAACACAACAAGCTATCTAAAGAAAACCACTTAATGTGTCATTCTACGATTGCTTACGCCTTAGGAAAACCTCGGCCTAGCTAACATGGCTAATTCATCTGTTATGCGACTTCCAAACTAGCTAAACGCCTAACGTTAACGCTAGACCTTAGCAGTTACGCCTTAGTTAGGTCGGTTGTTTATGTTGTTTTAATTTATAACTTTACTGGGTATAACAGCACTGTAAAGTAAAATTTCACTGAAGCAATAAAAACAATGAACAAAGAAAAGAACCACAAAAACAATGCACAGATCAAAAAAAAATGTTGAAAAAGTTATGAGCCTCAAAGGACCCTAAAAGGGTAGATAAAAACGGGACACGAGGGCCCACGCGAGGCATACGCATCACATTGGTCCTACACTCAACTGGTCCCAAGGCGGGGCCCAAACAGAGCTTGTCCGGTTCCGGCCCCTCTGTAATAGAGAGAATGGGGCCAGAACCGGACTAAAACAGAGCTAGTTGTTAACTTAACTAAGGAGCCAAAACGGTTATCGACGTAAAAATTCCCTGGCGTATTAGGGATTAACATCATGTATGGAACCTCAATCAAAAATATTTTCCCGGAGGACTTATTCGTTGCTTGGACAATCTACTAGTACTTACTCGACAACAGTCATCATTCTTTGCACGTCATATGACTTAAGGTGTCATGGAGATTTTTCTGCTTTTCCTGAATTTTAGACACTGTTAAAAGAAAAGCGAGAAAATGTTAGTTTCAATCGGGCAGGTCTATGCTTGCCTACAAAAATATGGTTTTTATCATTTTTAGTTTCAGGAAAATCCGTTTAGAGATTAAATGGAACACACTTTTCAAAAATCTCGCAATCTGTTAACTTGCTCGGTGAATACTTACGTGCTCTCGAAACTGATATCGATAGCTTGGGTAAACATAAATGTAAGCCTTTCGTAAAGAATGAAACAGAGGAACAATTCTACAATTTAGCCGAGAAATTCAATTAAAAAAATTTTGATAACGATAATGGTGTTTCCGTCTGCTAGCAATATCTATTTTGAGTTCGCGGAAATATTAAAATTTTCCAGAATCGTTATGTTTTGTTTTTTCCGGTTGTAAAAATGGCTTAATGTGGTCATAATCTCATTATATTCATGCAGAATTCATATCTGAAGATTAACGACATATATATGGTTGATATTGTCAAATGAACTTGATGTGAACGATTGTAAGTCTGATAAAAGCTTGAAAAGCATTCTAACTTCTATTAGTGAACGACGGTTAATAGAAATATTCTTCAATTTTAAATGAGCTTTTTTCCCCGTGCTTTTAGGGTGCACAAACAATTAATATAACTTTTAAATTCGTAATTAACTATAAATGCGCATGTAGGACATGCTCACACGTGACGTCACAACCACTGCCTCCTTGTAGCAGAAAATACTATTCATGGTAACAAAAAAGTTTGATATTCACCTTCCTCAAGAAACAAGCGTCGTCTGTCGTAAACAAAAATGTTTGTGTTGCAAAATAATTCGTTTACAATTGCCGACACTGTGTAAATATAGATTATCGGACGTGCAGGAATGAATTTTTTATCTTTATCAAATTACTGTTTTGACAGTACAACGACACGAAAGCATTAAGTCTAAGATTTTGTATCACGGATTTAGTTATAATTTTTATTGGTAAGTTGCTTAGACCCCAGCTGTAAACAGGTTGTACTTTACAGCAATCTCTTATTTCCTATACTGTTAGACTTTGAGGTTTTCTTTATAAAAAGAAGCCAGCATTAGATTTCAACAGTAGAATTGTAAAACGTGACAGAACAAGTCATTTTGTATGTGTTCAGAAAAATAAATCATCTGAAGCCATAGAGCAAATAATAATACTTCTAATTATAAAAACGAGGGTTTAACACCTTTGAAACTATATTGCTCTAAAACTTCCTTTTTCCTTGGTAAAAAATGATGCAACTCAAATGCTAATAAACAACAGTAAGCACATACCTGAATCAGATCCCAGGGTGAATGTAATGCCAGGCTGTAATATATATAACTTTATTCAATCTGATTCTATCCTGGTTTCCAGAGGAGTCGATAAAAGTGCGTAAACGGTTTAGAGTTGTGTTATTTTAGCATCTACTTCTTGTTTTGTGCTATAGTATCTGAGATATATCGTTAGTCACACACTGAGTAATTGAACTGTATTCTCAAGTATGTATTTGGCAAATTGCCGAAATCTTATAGATCTTACAAAATCAAAACCAATGACTGACAACCACTCAGGGTAAAGTCTGATTTGCTGTTTAGAAATAATTTGCCTTTATCTCACATTTATTCGATTCGATTCAAGTACATTTGCATTTCAGTTAATAAATGAAATATTACCTTTGTGCCACGAATAAAGTGTGAGTAAATTAATTTATAAAGCCAACGTATTCCGTTCAAGGTTTTGAAGTCATTTAACTTAATTTATCATCGCTGGTGTTTTGTCATTTATCAATAAATCAAAATTTGATCGCCTCAAAATTTCCTATGACGTAAAGAAATCTTTTAAGAATTTATTTTTAAGTTCAAAAGTACTTATGTTCATAATTTTACTTTGTTCAGTGTACCTTATAACTGAGGCAGCTAACCAAATTGCAATTCACCTCGAATTTAATCAGAAAGAAGGAGAGTTTAGAACACCAGTCAATTTTATTGATACAAACTTATCTTTTCGCAGTCTCATGGCGCCGAAGATGAATGATGTATTTGTACACTATTTTTTATCATCATTTTTTAGGGAGAAAACGATGAAATAATAGGCGTAATTTCAAAAAATAACTATAGTCTTCAGCTATTTCAAAAGCAACGACAGCGTGATTCCTCAATCTACATCTTGTTTCGCTCATCCAAGAAAAACAGCTCTCCAATTTTGACAATCTCGGATGTTATGCTATTGAGGTTGACTAATATTCGACCGGTGATTTTATCTTGAGTTAGTTTGTTGCCATGAAATAAATATTGAACTTACAATAATACTACTACTAATAATAGAACTAAAACAGGCTTGCGTAGCTTGTATGTTTAGTTTTCCCGTTTCAGACTATATGATGTTTACAAGAAAACAGAGGCTCCCAACGTCAATTTTGGCCGATTTGAGATCTAGAATTTTCGGTACATTTCTTGTAAAATTTCTTGCCTGCCTGCCTCTTCTAGGATTTTCGAACATCTGAAAAGTGGTATAATTACCCTTTTTTAAAGGATTTTTATCCTCAATAGGTCACCTAGAATTTTCGGCAGCTTTTTTTCTGGCTGAAAGTTTCGAAAAGGTAAGTTTTGATCCCTATAATTTTCGGATCACTAGACTTTCAGCTAGGAAATCCGAACAGATGAAAAATTTTTAGGGAATAAAAAAAAAACCTATATTTGCACTATATTCTCGTTGGGTGCCCCTGTTTCTTGTTAATGCCATATGCATGCGCAATTTACGAAGAGACAAAAAGCATGATCCACTTCGGAGTATCACGTGGTCTGAATTGATAAAAAAAAACATACATTAAGCTAAAAAGGGTCTATAAAAAGATTGTCAGGTGACAGCCACACGCGGGCGACAAATTATTTTGATAAAAAGCTAGTTCATATTAGATTCTTCATCTAGGAAGAGATCGAAGGACCCTTCAATGTTCGCCAATAACACAGTCGAGTGACAGGGTATTCTTCAGTTACCATATTTTTCTTTTCACTCGCGTTCATGGATAACGCGCAAAAAAATTTAAACCGGCTCTAAACATAACTCGAATTTCAACTCGAAATCCAACTACAACTCGAATCCAAACTCCTGCACGCCTTACTCACGTGTTAGACTTTGATCCACTATGCTGAGCTGAACTGGAAATGGGATACTCGAAGCAACCTCGCTTTTAAGGGACTTTCGATCAATAAATGTGTTATTCACATTATGGTCAATGACAAGTCTTTAAGATTAGCCACCAGGTGTAATAGTTAGCTAGAGGAGGAACGGCAGATCAGGAAAAGCCGTGAAGTTCAGCCAAGCCTTTAAAATTATAGCAAGGCTTAGCACTTACCAAATAGATTCATTATGATAGTTCAAGCGCTTATCACTAACCACATCGCAAGTCTATAGTTAAGAAGGCGTCTAAAAAGTAAAGTGAAAACGCAGGTGGAAGTATTAGCTAGTATTTCCCGCTCAAAGTTAAATGTGAAAGAAAGGTAAAAAAAAGAACCACGATCGCAAATACATTCGGCTATCAATTTTGCGCCAGACTAAGTTCTGACTAAACCAGAAGGCCAAAACTGCCTTTTCCATAGGGTTCCTCAAGGCTTAGTGAGGAACACGGACTTTTAAAGCGGGGTGCTGGAGACGAGTCAGAAGCGAGAGCAGGCATTGTATGACGGGAAAATTGACGGGAATGGGTACAGAGCGCGAGCCTTATCATCGTAGTCGCTTTACTTTGTTTAAGTGAAATACCAAGGTGAAAGTCAAGAAATGAGCAGCCTAACAGTAGCTCTTTTTGGAGCTGTGTGCTCTTCGCTTGCTTTTGGTTATTTTCTCGGGAAATTTCGCGGATCACGAAGGGACGCCGATGATTACATTCCAAAGTCGGCTCGGGGTCCTAAGCAGACTGATGGCTTAAAAACTTTTCTAGAATACGTGGCTGAACATTCTTGCCCAGAGCCTCACTCAGTTGCTGAACTGAGAAAGGTAGGTTATAAAAAAAAAGCTAGAATTCATAACTTCGGGTCTCACATCTTGATAATATCCCCATTCCTTTATTCCAAAACCAGCTTCATAAGTTTGCCTCCCCTTAGTGGAGTACGTTTGGAAACCTGATGAAACCGGAAAGGGAATAGACCCTTTCAAGGTTGTTATTGTTTTTTTTTAAGTTTTGTTAAAGAACAGTAAGGACCAGTCAGTGAATATCCAACGACATTGTTGGAATTAAAGAGCGCCTTAAAATTAGTAAACCTACCAACTTTAAAGGTGATGCATCCAAAACGAGCAAAGCTATCATGCAAAGTCGCGAATTTTTACAAAGGTTTGTATGACCGGAGGGCTTGCCCCCCTCCATATAATATGCAATGGGTGCGCCAGACTTTTGTAAAATTACGGACTTTCGAAGCTATATCTTTGTCATTTTCAACATATGACCTATAAATTTGGTAACAGATTTACTGATTTTAAGGTGTTCTTCCCAGCCGTTTCGACAGTTTTTCTCTAACTGAGTCCCATTCAAAATTTGAGAAACCTTGGAAGCGTATATACTGATTATCATTTTAATTAGTTTCAACTATTTATAGAACTGAAATTCAGTCAAACAAATAAAAATTAACATTAACGATTCCCCCCTATTTTGTTTCTACATTTCAATTGAGCAAAGACAAAAGTCAGACAAACATTGCAAATTGATCACTTTGACTTATTAAATTTGGGCGCTTTGCTATTGAAATATTATATATAAGGCCTTCTTCTCTCTCCTATAATTTTGTTTTTAGTTATGCCACGTACCGTCATACCTTCCGGCGCCTAGCAAGGCAGATATCTGGTGAAGAAATGGAAACGTACGTGGCCAGGCTCGATCCCAAAATGATAGAAAGAAAGTAGGAAAAACTGGGGGAATTTTGGTCTCCAACGTTGGTGCCATTTTAGGTCCGATGTGTA